TATATTATATATTTATATAATTAAACTTTTTATTTTATATTTAATTAATAAATTAATTATATATTAAGTTAAGGATAACTTAATTAAGGAAAAAGGAATAATTATTATATTATAATATCTTAAAGCCCTTAAAGTATATATACTTTATATATATTATATACCCTTCCTATATATATTTCGAAAGAAATTCTTCCTTTCTTTAAGCTTTAATCTTATTAAATATTTATTATAAAACTAAAAAGACTTATAACATTATACTTAACCTTTAAGATTTAACCTACCTATAATAATATTAAAAATATTATAACTTATAAAAATTAATATTTTAATATTTAAATAAATTAAAATATTTTTATAAAATTAAATTAAACTATTATTTTTAAAATATATAATATTAAAAAAAAGAATATTTTAAAAGTTAAATATAAAGCTTTTATAATAAAAAATAAACTTAAAATATTAAACTTTTTAATATTTAACCTTAAATATACTATAATAATACCTTTAATAAGTTAAAATTTTTAATAAAGTTATTAAAAATTTATTATAAATTATTATATATTTAATATATTAATATAAAGGTTAATTATTTAAAATGCTTTAAAGGTATTAAACCTTTAAGTTAATAAAATTATAACTTTTAAAGTAAAGGTTTAATACTTTTAATTTAAAGTTAAAAAATCGATTAAACTAAAGAAAAAGAAGGTAAAAATAATACCTAGGTATAAATTTATAAAAATGTTAAATATATAAAAGATTAAGCGTAGGGTATATAATAAGAGGATTTATAAGGATAAGGTAAACGATTACAAAGTGCCTAGAACTTTGGAAAACCTATTAGAGATTATTTAAAAGGATATTTTGGAGCCTGAAGATTGTATTACGGCTATAACCGCCTAAAAACAACGACCGCGATCGTTTTCGTTAAAAAATATGGCTTCAATTAAGTGGTGTTGGGTGGGTGGTGGGGTGGCCCGTGACGTGGTGGCCCGGGACCCTTGCGATTTGCTTATCTAGTATTACATGCCATTTTCTCCGAATACTAAACCTCCCACGAAACCTATCGACTTGAGTCCAATGATGCTATCCATTATTACATTCTGATGTGATCAAGCAACTACCTCACTTTCTTTAACTGGGAGGTCCTGGCTATTTGTCTCTTTCATGCCAAACTCCGTGTCTAGTCCCATTCTCAATTCCAAGCTCTTTTCCAAGAACACTACGAAAAATGCAAGGGCGGCGATCCCAGCGGCGGCCTGCCACAATGTCGAAAGCGCCGATTCGTACAAATGATAGACCTGACGCTTTACATCGATCGGGAGGTCTTTGATAGCCCCAGAGCCGGCATAACCGTATGCGCCCCCGTTGGCGAGGAGGTTGCGCACTGTCTCGTCTGCAATGGAGGGCAGAAAATGATCTACCCGGGCGTTGAATATGATAGATGGCAGCGTGATGCCCCATATGAACCCGAACTGTCGCACGAAATTGAATGTGCCTGTTGCCGTAGCGGCGTATGATTCTGGAAGCGACGCTTGAATCACGGGCAGTATACTAATGAGAGTACACCCTGCCCCGATTGATAGAATGATCTGAAAAAAGACCCATTCCACAGTGGGAGATTCGGGACCGAGAATACTCAAAAGCCCACAGGCTATCGACGTCGATCCAAAGCCAACCCAGTGAATAGGTTTGTACTTGCCAAACTTGGTGAGCAGACCACCGGTTATCACGGCCAATGGTACATATATGATGCTGAACGGGAGTACGTCAACCCCGGAGGTTAATGGCGTAGCGTCCTTGAGCGACTGGTAGTAGATAGGTAAGAAATACACAACCCACTCCAGTAGCCCGCAAGCCACGAAGGTCAGAGCGAGACACGCAACCGAAGTCCGATTGGCAAATATCAGGGGTGGCATGCTAGGTTCCTTGCAGATGGGCGAAGCCTGATGCACGTGGAAGACGACCCAGCCCACGAATCCCACCACGAGCGGGACGATGATGTGCCACGATGACCAGGGATACACTGTGCCGCCTTGGATGAGTCCGAAAAGAACCCCCACAATCGAGCCGATGAAGATGGTGTTGCCAAGAAAGTCGACACGCGCTAGGGCTCTGGCCCATGTCGGTTCTCTTTTGTGCTTGAGTCGGAGAAAGAATATCATAAGAGCCAGCGTCGACACAGAGAACGGTAGGTTGATGAAGAATACCCAGCGCCACGACGCCTGAGCAAGAATACCGCCTATGACTGGTCCGATGACAGTCGCAATTGTAGCTATGGCTATTCGAATACCCAGGAACTGTCCTCGCTCTCGAACAGGAACAAGGTCACTGACGATGAGGTCATTGAGGACAAAGATACCCCCTCCTCCGAGGCCAGTGATAACCCTTGCCCCTATCAGCTGAGCAGGGCTAACAGATGCCCCGGCCACAGCGTTGCCAATGGAGAAGAGGATGACGGATGTGAGCATGGGCACACGGCGGCCAAATATATTCGATATCTGGCCCACGAATGGCATCACGGCCGTAGACGCAAATACATAGGTGTTTGCTAGCCACACATACTGCCGCTCACCTCCCAAGTTAGTTGTGATCTTGGGCAAGGCTGTCGTGATGATTGTGGCGTCCAGCGCTGTTGAGAAATCGATCAAGCAGCCCGACAGCATGACGAGCCAAAAGGCGAAATCCCTTTTTGCTCCGGCGGGCGCTGCTGGAGCTATCGCCTCCTCCGCGATTTCCTTTACTTCTTCTTGCGACCCCGACATCTTTGGACTGTGGGAGCTTAGCGCGATCCTATACAGATAGGTATGATACACACAGCTGAGCTGACTTACACTGCGAGACTAAGCTTGGCGCGGTGCTGGGCCGTGAGCTAGGCTGGTGAGCCAGACTAGTGCTATTCACTCTCCGCGCCGTCGTGGTTGTCGACTATCTACTACTAGTGTACTGCGGGTGGAAAGAATCCTGGGAAACAAGGGTTGTCCGCTTCGACCAAGCCGAGCTCAAGCATGCAGGGAAAACAACTGCGTCAAATTCATATTCGTAGTATCGCATATCACGGGGGCTGACTTTGTTGACTCTCATGCATTTTGCTGGCTGGAATGTTCTGTAACAGATGCTACACATTTGGTCGGATGCCGAAGCTCGGATGCCGAAGCTCGAATGCCGAAAAAAATACGCCGTATTATAGTACAGCCTCGCTGGCGATGAATGCGATTGGTTGAATCCTAATATTATTGACTTGCTTCTACCTATTCGTACTATAGGGTCTAGAACACGCACGCCTGCCCGGCATCCTCCGCCTGTATCTGCGCGCAGACCGCTGCTGCCGCTGCCGACCCTGCAAAAGCTGCCTGCGGGATGATCTTGATGGGGGAGGCAGAGTCTCCACAGGCGAAGACACCCTTCCTTGTCGTCTCGAGGAACATGGGTTTCGTGACAGGATCTGACATGGCATTCATTTCCAACCCGAGCTGCACGTGGAAGTCGCCCTTTGGCACTGTCGGGGGCTTATGGCCAACGAAGCCTTCGGTAACGCTTTCGCCACCTTCGAAGTGGACAATCACATCGGCGAAACCCGGTCCCTTTTCGAAATGAAGTATCTTGCGGTTGTCTACCTGGAACAACTGGTTTTTCCCCTGTGCTTCAACCAAGGCTTTGTATAGCGTGTTATTGCCGTGGGTATAGATGTTCACCTTTCCCGCGAACCGTAGGGCTGTGCGGGCCGCGTGGAGTGCTGCGGGAACACTCGCCAAGTCGGGGAGAGCAAGGAGCCCGGCCGATGCAGCACCCTTGGCCTCGTAACCCTTGCAGAAGAAGCAGTGGTAACTAATCACTACTATTAGTACCGATTACCTAGCATCTTATCTTTGTGGTGTGTAAGAAAATGCAGACGCGACTCACATTCCTTTGGCCCAGCAATCGATATAGCCGGGAATATCAGGGAATTCGTCACGCACACCAACGGCAAGGATTAATTTCCTGCCCGTCCAAGTCTTCCCTTGCTTATCAGTAGCAATGAAGTAGCGTGGATTGGCTTCGTCGACTTCCTGGATAGTAGTCACTTCAGCCTTTTCAAATTGAATTGTCGTGTAGTTCGTTAGGATGTTCGCTTTCGCTGCTGAGCGGAATTCTTTCGGGTCATGATGATCCCAGGTGAGCACGTTATGCATGTAGGGACTTGGTGCATTGCGGTAGTCCTCTGAATCCAGCACTACTGCCGTATGTTGCTGTCGCGCCAGGGTGAGTGCTGCGGCAACTCCTGATACGCCACCTCCGATGATTAATGCGTCTACAAGCTGAATATCCTTCTTGGACTCCATGTTTTATAAGACAAGATAGTCGCGTCAGATTGGTGGGTGTTCCTGTACGTCTGCTTTGAAGCATCCCACAAGAATACCTACGATTCATATAGATGTTTCCTCGACTACCAAATTACGTGCGACTCACTTCGGACTTCATCATCGGATATCTCCCAAGATCTCGTCTTGCCCCGGAACCCGAGAGAAGTTATTTGAAACTTGCTGTAAGGCTGATTCCAAGCTCACAATGCTTGATCTTCGACAGATCGCTTTGTCTGCCTGCTTGTGAAAGTCTACAAGCAAACCCTCTCTCCCTCCATGTTCGCCAGGGAACAGGCACCTCCGACATTCTTATTGTCAGCTATTCAATACAGCCCTCACTTCTTACTTGGCCAATCAAAATTCACGCTCGGGATGCCTTTTTCGTGCATCGAAGACTCGATGATGGGAGCGGGGGCCAAAAACTAGAAGGTGTATAGCAAACATGTCACGGAACGACATAAGGAGTGCAGTACTATGCCACTACGCCACCAAAAGGTAACGACGAGTTATCAAGTCGAGAGCTTGACGTCTCTGCACTCACTATATAGTACTGTACTGTGACAAAACATCTCTCGAGCAATGCTACAGTTACTTTTAGCAGCGTTCAGGAGAAAAATTATTATGACCACTAAGATACTGGATATAGCGCTTCTCGCATTGATTGGAATGATATGTGATCAGGCTGCCCACAAAACCAGGATTCGACATGATAGCATTCAAAGGATTGTGCAGAAGCGCAGGGATACAGACACATGTATTGGTATTGGGTCCGCCGGCATCCGGTGTGGTTTGCGACGGGCAAGAATACCTCCATACCTATTCACACCCACTCTTTCGTTGCGGAGCGAATCAGCTTTTACAGAGAGAGGATAAAGTGCCCGTAAGCGATCGTGTGGTTCGCGCACCACGTGGGCATTCTCCTCGATCGACAAAAGATAGACATTAGGACTTCCTGTTCCTTACTTTGTTTTCCCTGGTCTTGGAACACTGTGAAGCTCTCCATTGCGCGGTGAACACGATGGCAAATTTCAAAGTTGTCAATAGCCACCAGCTGTCGATTGTCGTGGTTCCAATTGTCACTGTTCTGTTTGCGACAGTATGTGTCATCCTCAGATTTCGAGCTAGACACCTTCAGAAGGCCAAATATCAGTGGGATGATTGGATTTGTCTCATATCCTTAGTATGTGCCACCCTCTCCTTGGTTCTAGAGTGTCCGCAATGCTAATTATCTCAGGTCTTTACCTGGGCATTCCAGGCTGTTAACCTGGCCGCCGTCTTTGTAGGCGGGGCGGGTCTTCCAATTGCGACAGTAATAGCGACTGACCTGGGCGCGGTCGTCACGTACCTGAAGGTAATACTTAGTATCGCCGTCCATGTCGACATCATCAGCGGTGACTAATCTTCGAGTAACATTATCAGATCATTCTTGTCAACTTCTCCCTATGGGTAGTTACTGTATCTTTAGTCCAGCTATCGATCCTATTCTTCTACATTCGAATATTCGGAATCCATAAGTTATTCCGTCGACTGTGCTGGGCAAACATCATTCTGATCTCCGCTTTTGGACTTGCCGGCCTACTCTCTGAGATATTTCACTGCATACCCGTCAGCAAGTCCTGGAATCCCATGGAGGCTGGCACCTGTGTCGATGGCAAGTCGTACTGCGCATCGATAGGTGTGATCCACCTCTTTTTCGACTTGTCAATCGTCCTTCTTCCGATGCCTCTCATTTGGAACCTCCGAGTGACAACCAGGAGCAAATTCGTTCTAAGCGTCGTGCTCGCGCTCGGACTTGTGTAAGCATATTTGCTACCCACATCATGATGTACGTGGAGGCGGCTCAGCTAATGACAAAACCAGGGCGACGTTGTTATCACTTCTGAAGATCTCCTGCATCATCGATCTTACCGGCATTCCTCAGGAGGACGTTACCGACTCGCTCTGGCTTACAATCCTGCTACAGACGCTTGAGCTCCCGATAGGCATCATCTGTTGCTGCGTACCCGTACTGAGGCCCGCGGTGCTGGAGTTGAAGCCTCTCTTTAACTCGTTCGCCAGCCGCTTGATTTCGATCACAAGGGGGTCCGGTTCCGGCAGCTCGCCCTCGATCGCTAGGTCCTACTCTCAGAGCCTTGGAAGCAAAGCAAGCTCCAAGGTTGACCCTCACGGCTTTGTTCGGCTGCATGATGCTCAAACTGACATGGGAACCAAAGCGACAGCCCAGGCGGAAGACGTGCAGATGAACGATTTGAAACCGTTGTCCCAACCCGCCGACGCGCCACAGTCGCAAAATTCCATCAATATCACCAACTCTTACAGCGTTAGCCGATACTAGGAAACTTTTTTTGCAGTCAGTGGCTATGAATTGGGATCGTATTAAAATGCTCCCGATCTAAGATTCCAACGCCCTTTGTACTTTGTACTTGTACAAAATGAGGCTGCCGCCCGAGGAAACGAGAGGTTGTATGTGGCGATGCTCTTGATATTCTTACCGAGATTCCTGTTTATACCTAATTTCTCAGATGGTACCTACAACGCATGTTCGTATTCGTATACTATTGTAGATTAAATTACATCCTCTTTTCACGGCAGTTTCCATACCCACCTCTGGTTTTTTTGCGCGGACATGTGTGTTGACGTTAATGCATTAATGCCCTGTAGTGTATTAAACTCCCGCATCGTTTCTAACATTCGTCGCATGGATTACCAACGCAAAGGTGATTGGCCAACAATTGCCTTATGTACGTAGGTTGTGGTCGCAGATTTCCATCAGGCTTGGCACTATAAGCCAATACTAACGGTGATGGATATTTTGGACCCCAACCTCCGTACGGGAGCCTGATTTTTCAATATGGCACCGCCCCTTGTGTGAGGCTCTGAGTTGCTGCCTCATCACTACCCCGCAGGCCGGTTTCCGGTATCTGCCATTTGCATTTGGGGTAGGACTATATTACCTAGATGTGCCTATATAAGTCCCAGTGCGCTGTGCTTTTCAATAAACTCGCCGCGACAATTCCCTAGGCAACTTCCTTCTCGCGCCGCCGATTTCCAACGAGTTCGCAAATTACACAACCTCTCTATTCTCGCTACATAAAAAATGGCATTTCGCCCCAAGCAGATCACCAACTACCAGGCTGAGCACTTGGCTGAGCTTCAAGGGGACGTCAGTGAGACAGCCATCAACTATGTTCTGGGTCTCTTACCTCCCTTCGCAGATGGCGATGTCATCCACGATAACGCATGCGGCTCAGGTGCTGTGACCGAAACCATCATGGCACAAAGTCCACCCAAGATCCAGATATACGCAACCGATATCAACGCTGCATTCGTCGAAGGTGTTCGGGCACTGTCCGAGAAGAACAGCTGGCCTGTCGAGACCGCCGTCATGTCCGCTCAAGAGATCACGTTTGCCGACGCGACCTTCACCCAGTCCATCACAAGCTTCGCCTTCCACTGCCTGGGAGACCATGACCAAGCCGCACGACAAGTTTACCGGACCCTAAAGCCCGGCGGCTTGGCCGTTGCGACGGTTTGGATCTTCATGCCCCACGTCGAAGCGCTGCAACATGCACACTGGCGTACGCGTGGCCGCGACGGGCCAATGCCAGCGCTACTTCCATTGGAGAACTTTAAAGAATCCGACTTGAGACAAGCCCTACAGGTCGGAGGCTTCAAGGACGAGGATATCTCCTGCTCTGAGAAGGTCTGCTACCTAAAGGTGCCCGATATGAGGCGATGGGCACAGCTAGCTTGGAGCTACCTCGGCCATCTCCCCACGGGGTGGTCCCAAACCGACGAAGATAAATGGGACGAGGCAATTGACGACATCGTGGATCAGCTGTCCAGCGGGGACGGCATTGTCGTCGAGAATGGGGAGACCGTCATGAGGATGATTGCGGTCGTCGCCGTCGCGAAGAAGTAATAGTGTTCACTGCATGATTTCTGCATGTAGCTTATTATCTTGCAGGCAAAGCCATTGAGCCTACGATTTAGGATTACCCCTCTTGAGCCTTGAAATGTTGACTTAGCTTATCGGCGCTGTCTTACCTGCATGTGACCCTAGGCCATCGCGGGGGCGCATCCCGGCGCGGAGTAGCTGCTTTTATCTGAAAGTACTTAATTAATGCGAAAACCCCTGTACACCGCTTTCATTCTGGGATGGGAGCTATAACTTCGTGTAGGCATGTTAAGTGAATCAGTAGATGCTGCCTGTGCTAATTCTAACGTATTGTATAAATTGTGACCTGTCAGGGTTTCTTTGCCCACGCGACTACCATCCTGACATTCGCGCCCCGAGCTCTAAGTTCCGATACCAATTCATTCCTAAAACTTTCAAGATGCTCAGCACTGGAGTCCGAAGCGCTTCGGCCTAGAGGAGGAATTCAAGTCAGCAAAAGCTTCTGATCTAAAAAAAAAAAAAAAAAAATGCAAGAAAGATGCTGTATTTACCATTGACTAGCGGCCAAATGCCATTCAGAGCTACTACCAGCTGAGAAATACTTGATTCGCATAGTGTTGCATTCGAATTCGCTGCACCGTATGGAATGATGAACACCCCCTGCTGGCCATTTACTAAACCAGCCCCCTCCAGATACGCTTCTAGGGATCGTCCAAGGAGAGAGCCGACACCGATGACGTCGAAGAATTGTCCCATCAGGGCTTGAAACTTTTCCATCGCAGGACCATTGGAGCTCTCGCCTGCGAAGTCGGCTTCGACGAGCTCGACATATCCACCAGGACTGGCCAAGTCTGCGAGCTTCGAGACACAGGATTGTACCGATGAAGAGCCCGCCCCGACAAGAGTCAGCCGTTGGTGGACAAGATCAAATCTAGACCGCCAGTGGTCCGGCCAATCATTGGTAATGGATTGCACATGGAGTTCTATCTCGGAGGGTAGATCCTTGGGGAAGAATGCAGGGTTAATATCTACTCCGATATATGTGTGAGATGCGTTAGTAGTATCTCGTAGCTCACGTAGCCACAGCCCTAGGAAACGGAAAAGTCAGTTACAGTGTTCCAAAGCCCTAAATGTAGTGATATAGATATGCATCTATGTATTAGACAGATTGGAGTTAGGTATTACTTTACCATCAGCAGTCCCGGAATCAAGAATCTGTCGCCCCGGTTTCGAAAGATCCACTGGGGCGAAAACTAACTTGCCCATAGCATCGTGGAGGAGGGTGTGCTGTTGTCCTAGCCGTTCGAGCTCACCCTCATTTTCGTCCATGACATAACGCTGATTATTGTCTGTCATTTTTCCTAGTATGAAGAGTATGAGAAGACAGTAATTCGAACAGCTGGTCGTCTCTTGGTTCGTAAAAGATCAGAGGCGGCTTTGACTATGCGTGAAATTCTTGATTCTATGTCTTGAACCTAGAGATTGCGATTGCTCATTTTGAGCTCCCCTTGATATAGTCGGAATCGGACATCAGCTGTTGTATGCACCGAACACCGGTAACCGGTGTTAACCTAAGTCACCTCGAGTACCATTGAGGGACGCTTCAGCAATCATCATGTTCGTGTATATAATTGTTAATGGTATGAGATTAATTGTCTCGTATTGACGATCTCACATTAGGTGGCTATCATTTTCATTTACCTACACTCCCAAACAGGTACTGACTGCTCTCATCCCCTGGTTGTCGAGTCATGCACATGGCTCTACCTCCTCCCACAACGAATAGCCCACCTCAGGCCATCATCAAAAATGTCGATCTCTACGCCGAAATTACCGCCACTTCTACCCAGGATGTTGCCAAATATATCATTCAGATGATTTTGCCTGGTATTGCTCCAGGATCTAAGGTCCACGACAACGGGTGTGGTGCGGGAGAGGTCACACGTGAGATCATGTCAATTCCATCGACATCAGGACGCAATATTGCAATAGACGCTACCGACATCTCTTCTGAATACATAGAACGCTTGGAGGCCACCGCCAAGGGGAATGGCTGGCCGGTGACGGTGCACGCGATGGCTGCCGAAAAGCTTGATTTTGCGGACGACACATTTCACTTGTCAATTGCGAATTTCGTCTTATTTCTCACAGCGGATGGTGGGGTTCCCGCGCTTCGTGAGATGCATCGGACGCTCAAGGCCGACGGAACAGCTGTGTTCACATCATGGGCCAAGCTCCCGCATTCCAACGCCATCAAGGCTGCGCATGTTGCCACGAGGGGACCGCTAGCACCCTCACTGCGTGAACTTCCTAAGGAGTGGGAACAAGGCTCGCATCTTGTACAGGTTGCACTAGACGCCGGATTCGCAAAGGAGCAGGTTGATGTTTCCCAGGTGCCAGTGTTCGTTCTGGTGGACGACCTGAGGCGTCACGCAAATGTCATGTGGAGCTTTCTAGGTATTCCGACTGTGGGCTGGCTTCCATCGGACAACGGAAGTTGGGATGTCGCAGTTGACGTTCTAATGGGCTGCTTCCAACATATGGACGGCTTCAAGATCTTGGAGAATGGGCAAATGAGGATCGAGCTCGTCGCAAATGTACTGGTAGCGCACAAATAATGAGCTTCTAGATTACAGAGTACCTAACCTAGAAGACAAGCGTGTTACTAGCTTGCTTAGTGGTAATTACTTACCTATTAACTACTACAGATTTCAACAATTATACTTTCCCTCAGATCTGAGTCGTGAAGCTTGTAACAATGTGTTTCGCTTTGTTTACAACATCGCGAAAACTTCAAAATATCCGGGCTCGACATTCAAATGTTCTATCATGGCGCACGTTGAGATGTAACGCCTGAGCCTACAATATGTACCTAGGTAGGTATCCGCTATGTAATCCGTACAGTGTTGAAAATCGACGTTTGGGGGGTTGCAATAAGCTTCGGTGCCAAGCCTAGTAACCCTGTCGGGCAGTCTGTCGATGTGTGATTGGCTTAGCTTCGGCAACCGAATTTCGACGCTAGCGTCGGTTGCCGAAACTTGATGAGTTGCCAAGACTGCGATAATGTATAATCCGATTGGAGTCTCACTGCTCTATCTAGATATCTTAGAATGGATAACAGCTGTGTTTGAATGTGTTGTGCCTCATTGCAGTCCCGAGAACATTCATACTCCTCAGATGAAACTTCATCAGTTGTCGTAGAACACTAAGCAGCGCACTTCTATGCTCTCCCGTGGTATGGCTGCGGTATCCGCCTCGGGGTGTAAAAAGGCTCCGTGGGGACACACTGGTGATCCATCGTCAGCAGTTGTCAGCCGAAACAACAGTAAAACAGCACCAACAGGCGGCCCTATATACTTACATTTTGCCACGCCGTCTTGGTTATCCCATATCTTGATGAGGGTAACCTCCTTGTGGGTTTGCCCAGACAAGTAGTACCATTTCTGATCGGGAGAATGAACTACAGATACGGTCTGTCCTACACGATCATGACGCTGTTTGAAAATGTCTGTAGGTTGAATTTCGGATTGTTGAATCGTGCGATAGTCCATAGTTGCCAAGGGCCAATCCCTAACTGGGCCATTGATCGGTCGCCACACACTTTTAGGATCACCGCCCCTCGAGTCAGCTACATCATGGAATTGAAGGTGGGAATCACACTATACTTGATGATTTGCGCACGCTTCTGCAGAAGACGCTCGGCATCTGCACCGCCATGACCCCTCACTCTACCAATTGCCCCAGTTTCGGACCTAATGGCGTTAAATGTCACCGTAAGCTCAATGGTCATACTGGTGAGCTCTAACGTACTGGTCAACATGAACCTGATAAGTCAACGGTTAGTGCCATGTGAGTAAAGTGGTTTATATAACATACCAAAATAGCAGGTTGCTCTTTGCCGTTGGAGTTCTCAGAGGGGTCCAGAGACGGATCACGTTTGCGATACGTATGATCGAATATGACTACCCTTGTAGCCCCCGTATTGCTTTTCACCAAGTTCTCTATCACAGGATAATATTTCTCTTTGAGAACCGGGCTGTTCTTTTCTCGGATCGCTTGAACAAGATGGTCGTCGATGCCGGAATCTTCGACAAACATAAATCCTTGTACGTCCAACTGGAACGCATCCATTGATTGCCGTGCATCCTCGAACTGAACAAGATGATCTGAATTGGTGAAATTTTGGCGAGGAAACCCCTCTTCAACGTTGCCGCGTACATATGGACTTTCGCCATTAGCTAGCGGGCTTAAGAAAGACATTTTGCTCTGCACGGAAACCATTTTCACGGGGTGATAGGGCATGAAAGGATGCGTTGGGGCTCTTAGAACGTATTTTCATGATGAGGGACATGCGTTTATAAATGGAATAGTGCGATGTGATGAGCTAGTGTAATAAACCGGCTATAAGTATAATATGCTTACAAGTAATAAAAAAGAGCAATAAGTCGTACAGCTACGTAGTAAGTAGAGAAATTCGAAATAGTTCAAAAGTCGTATATGCTTAATTAAAAATAGAGACTTGAATTGATATCAATCGCCTTGTAAACCTCTTTTAAAGAAACAATTTTGTTAGATTTCTTGTTTTCGTTTCAATTCTTGGTAGCCTCAACATCTTAAACGTTAACCAACGCTCGGCTAAACCTTCAATTACGTTATCTGTACCAGTCTTGAGTCAATATCATCGTTGAGCACTCTAATCGAACCCAACAGAACGCGACATTTACATGCCACACTTGCAATAGGCCCAGCGCTTATAGAGTCGTGGTTGACAAAGATGCTCTTCGTATTTTATCCTCTTTCCCTATTCCTGACGTATTTGGCGTCCAATATTGATCATGCGTTTCGAAACCGATCAAAGAATTTGCATGCTTCCTGCCTAAACATCGGCGTGGGGAGCAACAGAGCCATATTCGGCATGTTGTCTGCCTTGTGTGTGGTACTAGTGAGTCCAGGAGCGTGATAGCTACGCCGCGTTGGTCAGATTCTAATGGGGAAATAAAAGGTTGCATCCGCTGTCGTTACCATTCTAGCGCTCGTTTTTGATGCGGTTGGAAGCCAACGCATTTCCTGGGGCTATGCGGTATGTTATCGTGACCAATACAAGGGTTTGAACTAAGACATCTGCTACCTAGTGGTCGTTATGTGCCGTGGCTTTATTCTATATTGCTGGAGTCCTACCCGACCCGGACAACCCATTCACTGCTACTCAGGTTAGCTTTCACACGTGGATTGTAAGTTTGCTAAATGAGTCCATCTGGATAATAGCGTACTTCTCCGTTAGAGACTCGGACATCACTTTGTCTCCCATTTCGAAATGGGAGATAATCGAGATCGTGCTTGGTTCTTCTCGAATAGCTATACTCTCTGGACTTGTCTGGATATATTGGCGGATCAGTAAATGGAGATACAACGATCAACGGGAAAGCCGAGCATTGCTGGGCCCTTCTAGTATCACTCATGCCGAAAATGGCGTGACTAGTCATTACGGATCTACAAGTGGGAGTACTGGCGGCATAAGCGGCCGAGATGGCGATGCTCAAACGACAACGTGGCTGGACTATCTCGTTGGCTTTCGAAAAATTTTGCCCTTTCTTTGGTATGTAGTACTCATGTGTTTCGAATTCAATGTCTGATGATAAAAAGGCCATCGGATAGTAGCAGACTTCAAGTTCGAGCTATATTCTGCATTTTTCTACTTATCCTGCAGCGCGTCGTCAACATCGTTACACCGCACCAACTTGGGGTAGTCGTTAGGTCTTTGGGTCCTGGAAAACTGCTTCATGTCCAGATTCTTCTATACATTCTTTTTAGGGGCCTTCAGGGCTAATAAGGAGTGATCGGCTCACTGTGTGCCTTGCTTTGGATCCTAATAAGTTAGTTAACATATAAGCGGCTGAGCGCAGCTGCGTTTGACTATGTACTTTGGCTTTCGCTCGACTTCCATCTGAGCAATAGGCTTGGAAAGGTAGCCAGTGCCTTAAGCAAAGGTAATGCTTTTAATACGTTTTTAGATAGTTTAGCCTTTCAGCTGTTCCTAATGGTAGCGGACCTATAGATCGGAGCTATATACTTCTTTTTTATGTTAGACGCTTCATATGCTTTCATTGTACTAAGTGTTATACGGTTTTATTTTTATTTAACTATTTATATGGCTAAATACCGGGGGCAGGTTAGGCGAAAGATGGCGACTAGGGAGAGGGCAATGGAAGCTGCAAAGTGAGCGTCGGTTATATGCTATTGGGTTGTATACACGCTCACAAGTTACTTGCAGAACCGATGCACTTTTGTCGTATGAGACGGTATACTACTGTGGTGCTGTACCAGGTGTGTCAGACTCCTCGCATTTACGACGACGAGCAAAGCTAACTCGTGACCACCGTATCAGTTGAAATTTCAAGGTATTAATCCTTAATATTGAAGTTTCAAAACGCCGAGTACCGAGTACTGTTCTCCCTTAACCTTCTAAATGTAACCCAGAATAACATCCTCACGGTCGCCTCTCTACTAATATGCTACCTAGACGCATACCATATATCCATGAGGCGACAAGATGTTTCCATGTTTGTGATACTGTTGACATACCTTGCGCAGTTATAGGCACCGTTGAATTTCTTTGGGAGCTTTTACACTTAAGTACAGAACAACCTGATCAATGCCGAACGCATGTTGGAACTATTCAAAAAATTACCAGGGGTCACAGGTCGCAAAGGTGCTATCGACCTTGACACTTATGCCGGCAAGATATCCTTCAAGGGAGTCTCGTTTGCATACAACGGCAGCCGGAATCAAGCCCTAAAGGACGTGTCCTTTGACGTTGAGCCCGGAACATCAGTCGCTATCGTGGGCGAAAGCGGAAGTGGTAAGTCTACAGTTTTGAAGTTGCTGTTCCGATTCTACGATGTCGACCATAGCTCCATCGAGGTCGATAGCAGGGACATACGAAACCTTCGCCTCCAAAGCCTTCGGGATTTCATTAGTGTCGTACCATAAGAGTAAGTACTGTTTAACCTGTACCTAATCGCTAGCATGCAAGGGGCAGCTATTGGCGCTTCGCTTCTTCCAATGGCAGGCAGCATACTTAACCGTGATTCTAATACGAGCCAGAGCGATTTTATTCAACAACACTCTGATGTACAATCTCCGCTACTTAGCCCCAAACGCGAATGACGAAATGGTGTACGAAGCCTGCAGGGCAGCGAACATCCATAACAAGATTCTTAACTTCCCCAACGGCTATGCTACAGTAGTTGGGGAAAGGGGTCTCAAAATCTCCAGCGGGGAGCGACAGAGGGTAATGCGATCTATGACATACACCCTACAGTACCGGTAGACGTGCGACTAACAGGGATGTGAAGATTGCTATAGCTCGAGCATTCCTGCGCTCGCCGCGCATACTGCTGCTCGACGAGGCAACCTCGGCTCTGGACTCGGCCACGGAAACTCTGATTCAGGAGTCGCTGGAGAAGGTCTCGTAGGGCAGGACGACGCTGACAATTGCGTGAGTACCTGGACACCCGATGGTGCATTCCTCAAGCCTACTTGGCAGTCTTACGAGCGAATGCATGATCCCAAAATTGTCGCTGGTGGTGTGCACTCTGCAAGGGATTGAAGGGTTTGGACCATGCAGCTCGCCTATATGTGTGCTAAATATGCTAGATCCTCTTACTAACATGACCCTAGGCACCGGCTGTCCACTATAAAAAACGCCGACAAAATCGTTGTTCTCAGCGGCGGGCATGTGGTGGAGTCTGGGAAGCACGGTGATCTTCTCACACACGGTGGGGCATATGCGCGTATGTGGTCGAAACAAAATGAGAAGAAGGTGGACTAGGAGCGTAATACCCCAAAGAGCGGGCGCGAGACGTTGGTAGGAGTGCATGAAAACGCAACTCTGACTATCGAGACTATGGCCCGATACGTCGTGCTGATTCCATCAAGCGCCACCGCATGTAACATCACATGAATTCAGAACCCCCGTCAATGCTGTAAGCGATCGGTGGGAGTTCTTGGTTTGACGCAGTGAGCTCTTGCACGCATGAAATCAGGCGTGATTCGGACCGGTATAATCCTTGGCCGCCCAAGGAAGAGACAAGATGCGGTTGACTAACTGAGTCCTACCGACTTCCGCCTGGCCAGGTTCTGTAACGTATGACGAGGGGCGATAGAAATAACCTAAAGCATGAGGTCTGCTAGGATCCTGAGATGATTGGACGCGTGGGTGACGACAGGGCACTCCAAGTTTTGACATTTGCAGCCTCAAAGTTGAGCGTTTAGCCAATCGTATGATCATGAATGGTGGTAGTCTGAAAAGAGTAGATGGCGCTCAATAAGGTAACAATAGCTCACCTCTGAAATATATTAAATTTTATTAAAAACACTTTTTTCAATATGTTAATACCTATGACCCTACGGCAGACGTCTAGTCCCCTGGACGCAGCAAAAGGCTGCAGCCTGGCTCTAACGCCGCCGCAAGTGCCTCCATAGATGATGAGCAGATGTAAACCTTACGTATTCGTCCCCGTCAAGTTTGGATATGAGATACAGGCATACTGCTTGTTTAGACTTGGATAGGTAGAGACACATAGAATCTGTCTTGCCTATTGCTTACTTGACCATCGGGTAGTCATATCATCGAAGCGAAGGTGTAGGTCACGATGGCAATCATGCAGAGAGAACGTCTGGCTGAGATTGCAACCGTCGGCCGGCCTGGGGCTTGCCAGACGTTTCAAGCCCTCTAAAATCTGGGTGGCGTGCCTGACCTCCTTAAGAATGGCTTGTGTCCGAAAGGCCAACTGCTCCTCTGCGTCCATGGTGTAGTCCCCGTACCCTAGGCCAGAGAATGAACCCATGGCCGAAAACCCTCTTCCTAGCCGTTCCTTGTCTGTAGTGGCGGATGACAAGCAAGTCTCGAGTAGTTCCACCACTTGATACATCAAAGTGTCAAAAAGCATGCGACAACGTAGATTCCTCGAGTCTTGCTGTAGCTCGATGAAATGGGCCATGCGGTCGAGGGCCTGCTTGACCATCCCGAGGATTATCTTGGAGCCCTTGACTTCATCTACGATGACATTTTCGAGGTCGCTCAACATGTGACAGCATTCCAGGAGGCATTGGCTATCGGTTTCGTTGCGGGGACGAAGGCCTAGGCATATAGGCAGGATTTCGACGCGAAGAGTATCTGCCGTCTCCTCGGGCAAGGACGGTTGTGAAGTCGCCAGGAAAAGTTCGAAATTTTCCATGCTACTATCGGCAAGAGACGTTGCATATGTCTCTTCGTACGCGGTGCTTGGTGGTGTCATCTCTGGACCAGCTGATGCGCTGCTGTGCCCAGTCTGTGAGACAGTTATCGAAGACGCTGTGTGAGTGTAGCTATCGTCGTTCATATCCGTGCCTTCGATATCCCAACCATTGCTCCAATCAATATCGTTTGGGTTGGATTCGGCGAAGCTCATGGCTGCGTCAGGTGCCTTACTCGTGTGAGGCTCAAGGGGAGGAGTGTTGCCTGGTTTGGTGCTTTGAAAGTCCCCTCTATCGTGAGACTGTGTATGTCTCTTCTTCGCTCTGATTCCTGGGACTTTTCCAGCCTTAGACTCCACGTACTGGCAGCTAGAGCCCGTAGCACGACATCTAGCGCAACCCATGCGCTCACCTGAGCACTTGACCTAATAGTCTGTGTCAGGAAGGCCAGTATTTTTTGAGGGCGATGTGTGGAGGGCCACTAGGCTGGGAACCGACCTTGGCGGCACAACACGCGTTGCAGGCGTTTCGTAACCGTCCTGGTTTCGATGACACCGTGCTTCGATCGCCAGTGCTTTGGGGACTGGGGCCGTGTCAGTAATACATTGATGCCTTATCTATCATATGGGCCGGGAGAAAACCTGCGTCGGTGGATTCATGCTGAAATCAGACGTAGACTGCGGTAGTAGTTATCGCTTGAGATCCCAGGAAAGTATCCCGTAGCGACTGTATCCTAATAGATGTCGCGTGGGTATGCTCGGGGATGAAAGTTCGACACAAGAGGTTCAGTGAAGCACCAGAACAAGTCAAGAATTTGCCGGGAGCATCGCCTTATACTTCCGTCACACGGTCAAGGCCTAAGATCGCCAAAAAGGCGCGATGCAACTTTGGGATACGAGCAACTGTTGGATGTCGAGAGTACGCAAGATGGCCTCGCATCTGTGGAACTGAACAGGTACCGTAGCTCAATGGGTTGGTACCAAACAACTCAAGCAGCTGGATGAGATCCTACCAAGATAAGTACACCTTGAAGGCCCGAGGTTAAAAAAACCAAAGGATACGTAGCGGCGCAAGCAATGGCCTTAAGACCCCTGGAGAATCATTAACGGAATAAGCCTCAAAGTTACAAGCCGCTAAACCTAGCCCCTGTCACAACTTGGTGTCCCAATACCTACCTATTGGGTGCCCCTAGGTATTTGCTTTACGTGGCCATGATGGAGGCGGGGGATTGAAATCGCCAGTAGGGTGGGTAACATGTTTGCGACCACAGCCTGCAGTTGGATCAGCATAGGGTCGCATCGTGGTGATTGGGTCGGTCGAGCTCAAGCCAGTGGGATGGCGAGGGAACACATTGTCGGACATCCTACCACTGCCTTCCGTGAAGGATTTAAAGTGCAACGCTGGGAGGCAGGCTGGTGATGCTGGATGGGTCTGGCCAGAAAATGAAAAACCTCCCGTGATAAGCTCATCCCTCATGCGGGGGGCATGGATTATCAGGGTTCCATGCCTGCCACTGTATGCAGGACCACAATTTTCCTTCGTCTACAACGCGCGGTGAAATAAACCAGGTATGACATTGATACCCTTGGTGATGTCAGTGGTCGACGAATCTCCAGAAGAGGTAATTACTTCTGATTTGGGGGTCCATCCTGGCAGTTATATTCGATGACATGAATGTGCCATGAGAAGATATCTATCGGATAGCGGGGAGAGAGCAGTGCCTCTCTGTCCTATGGTCTCTTGGAATAGTTACGGTACGCACCTATCTAACCTCGCATGATTAGTCGTTCACTATGGCTTGCCCACGCACCTCGCCGTACTTCAAACGGGTTGAACAAGACTCCAGGCCGTGACCTTCACACGCCGGCAGCTGTACTTGATAAGCTGATACGTTCGGATTTGTAACCATTCAACTCACGAGTCGTCTCATGTCGCTCTATGAACTGCCATATTTTAGGAAAAACATGGAAGTACAAGTCAGAAAAAAGAAATAATATTAAATGATGGCTAGGGTGATCAGTATCGGTGAGTATTATTAGTGCTTTATATATGCTATAGTTATATATCAAGTTCCACAATGACGACAAGTAATGGCGAAATACTCTCAATATCACTACGCACTGGATAAGTCGCGGTGTCAACAACGGGCATGATTGCGTGCTCCTGACAACCTCAAGCCCCACGGTAGTACCTATCTCCCACATCAAAAGTGTATAGAAATCTTCATCTGGAGAGAAGAGCAATGTGGCACCGAACAAGATCATCCAATGAATGGAACCGTGCCGCCCCTGTTTGACGTTAGAGCGAATAGGCACAATTTTGTCTGTGTGAGAAATTTAACGGTGCCTTCGGAATTGCGCATCGGAACTTATCCCGTATACCGATTTCATTTCTTTTGTTTCAGCATCATCGGCCACCGTTTGACGCCGATCAGCATTCCCCGGGATCCGAAAAGCTTCAACTGTTCCCACAAAGGGTATAGAAGTCTCCTGAGGGCGTCTAGTGCGGATCCCAATATTCCTTAAGCCCGCTCCCAGATCATCGCACCAGCCGGTCGGAAGAAACTGAAACGAAAGTATAAGCTCGGTGGATCGGAGACCTATGAAGGCACATTTTGTCTTCTGTAACTACCTAGACGCGGTATCACCCAAAACCTAAGAACAATCCAGGCAGGAACACAGCGACGGAATCTATGAGGCTAGCATCGGTACCCGCAAGTAGGCGATTAAACGCTGGCAGAATGAGGTGGTGAAGATACCTGTTGTCTACCGCTGCGGAAAATAACTATAATTGTCAGATATAAACGATAGCATGTAGAATTCAGTATATTTGTTGATAATCTTGTACTTATCTGTGTAACGTGTCTTGCTACGCAGAGATTTTACAAGGGCCCTTGTCTTCCTAACGTGGGTTTACCCTAAGGTCCCCGTTTATCCAATATCCTGGCTTAAAATATAATCCCTTATATTTAATATATTCCTTTAAAAAGTATCCCCTTAAGGATAATTCCTATAAATATATTTAATAGTAACTAACCTTATATATTTCCTTTTAAATAAAAATATTAATTTATTTATTTAATTATTTATAAAGAGATGTGTTAATATTTGTCAGTCTGCAACTCTCGCGACAATCCACACGCAGCGTAGGACCCCATAGTCATTGCGTTGGTAATCGTCTTCATGGGGGAAGCGCAGTCACCAGCAGCGTAAACCCCGCGGACGTTGGTGCCGTAGAACGGCGGCGCCACTTGAATCCCTCCCGACTCGGACGGTTTAATTTTTAGCTGGGATGGTAGGTTTTGGTCGATTGTTATTTTCGGGCGGTGGATAAGGAAAGACTCCAAACACTTAGCCCCGACCTCAAAGTTTATGACAACCTGTGATGTCTCCGTGTCCTGACCGACATGCGTGATCTTCCGATCGTCCAGGTGAATAGATGTAGTGCCCAGAAACCGGTTGCGGAGACTTTCAAACAATATCTGATCCCCATTGGTATAGATCGTCATCTTGTCTGCAAATCTGTGTCCATCGAGAGTGAGTAAGGCTGCGTGCTGCAGATTTGCCAGCCCGTCGATAGCCAGCAGTCCCCCAGATGGTGAGCCGCGAAGCTCATATCCGAACTGGAACATGCACGGAAATCTTGTCGCCCAATGTTAACGCTTCGTTTTGTGTGACACAAGGTGTGTATTAAGCTCTTACATGCGGCGAGTATACAGGTCAAGGTATCCGGGCAAATCCGGGAACACCTCCCGTGCGCCATACGAAAGCAACACCTTTTTGCCAACCCAGTGCTTATCGGCGTGGTCGACGACTTCAAACTGACCATCACTGATCTTCTCGATCGTCTTGACTCGAGTGTTGACGAATGTCGCAAGCCCCGTAGCTAAGAGTTCTTTCCGACAGGCCTCCCTCATTTCATCGGTCGTTTTGTTTTCCCATGTCGGGGTAAGCCGCGTCGGAGTGCATCGATCATTGCACGGCTCTTGCGTGTCGAAGATGATCGACGTGTACAACGCTCGATATAAAGTCAATGCAGCAGATAGTCCAGCGTGGCTACCGCCAATAATCAGCACATCGGCATTAGATGAGCCGGATGCATCTAACTGACTTTCAGGCATTTCGGGCGACATCATGTACGATGGCTAGGGGTGATGAACAAATGGCGCGCGGACGGGCTCTGCAAGGTGAACCACGAGGTATTAGTAGGATACAGCAAGTAGGTAGGATTAAATCTTATTCGCGTGGTGCTCTTGCTACCTACACCCGTTGGAATGAAGACACTACCAAGATCGACACATTTTTATTGTCAAAGCCCTATCCGCAAGGTCATCTTCCTTGAAACTCGGCATTCGGCGCCAAGTCACAGCTATAAGATATTCCTACTACACGCTATAAGATTCAAGGCGCTGTCTCCTGTAATGTGTATTAAAGGTACAATTAGCGGAAACAATACAACTAAACACCGTTTTCACTTCGTGGGCGTGTCACGATGTCAGCATCTTGGAACCTTGTATGACCTCAAGATAACCGTAACAGGATTTCCGATTCAGGGACTAGTTACCGCCTGACGAAATACTGCAACGTCTGGATACTCCATCGGACTCCCACACATTAGCGAATTCTCTCCATACCCCTCCTAACCAACAACGAGTCGCCGGCCGCCTGCCGACGCACCCCGGAATTTTGAAAGTCACAGAGCGGCAAATAGTTTTGATATAAACGGCTCAACTTTGTTCAATCATTTGCTTAAAATCACGATATCCGAATGGTGATGACTAGCCGGCCTACGTTCTTAGTCGGTTACCGAGCGGCCAGGTTATACGGACTTCACGAATCGCTATCCGGACTTCACCTTAAACCCAACATAGTAAAAGTTGGGTCGGTACGTACTGATACCCCCACAATGGTCCTTGGCACACCTAATCTAGCCTTTTTAGAAGTACAGCCCTTGTATCGCGCAGCAGAACCCATGATAACCCACTAGTAAAAAACATCTTCAACTTTCACTTTCAACCTTTACCGTACCTTTAAACATTAATAACACTATACGTTTTGCAATATTTATTAAAAGTAAGTTATTTATATCTTTATTTATTAATTCTGCATCGATTATATAACGGAAGTTTTAAGGCTATTAATTCCGCTAACTTGGTGGTTTTTTGAAGTGAATATCAGCGCAAGAAACTAGGTAGCCCTGACCGTCAACATTGCTAGCGTTTACTCCCTGTCTCCAACTATCCTAATTTGTATGGGAAAACAGGGGGGTCCTGGACATTGCCCCAACTATTCCTATGTTGGGTTTAGGGTGAAGTCCGGATAGCGATTCGTGAAGTCCGTATAACCTGGCCGGTTACCGAGGGCTAGGTGCCGTAGTCAGTCTACAAGCCAATAAGAACAACAATGTATCGGGGTCTTCTAAATAAACGAGGCCAATCTCGCATTTCAAAGGCTCTGCTCGTGCACTATGCAGCTGCTGTCAGCCCGGGGCTGACTGCTGTCGTCTGTCTTAGACTGACAATACCACGGTAGAGGCAGGTTGCAATCCCGACCACTATGAAGACAACCGCCTTTTCCCGTCTGTTTTCAGCATTCACACTTCAACAACAATAGCATATGAAAGGATTCTCACTGTACCTCCAATCACCACAAATTTAAAGCGCACCTTGTTGTAAATGTAGATTCTAGCATTGAGCTGGAACGAAAGACAGGAGGAGCCTGAAGCCCTCATTACAAAGAATGACGTAGGTAGTCGCGAGCACCTACCCTGTCTCGCCTGTTGCAGGTGCCTAGCACCGACGAATTAGGTAGTGATTGCAGCTGAAGATCACATGACAGGTGCCAGGTTTTCTACCCACTAAGCTAGGCCTTCTTTCTTTCTTTTTCATCATAAGCTTTTCGTAACGAAATACCACCTATTTTGCCTCATTCCCTCGCGCATTACACAGACATCTGAGAGGTGAAGTGACCAAGATTAAAATTCTTGAATAATCCGCAAGAATAAACTGCTACTCTACTTTCATAAACCATCACCGCGTCCAAACATGGGCCAAAACACATAGTCGTGCATGAGCCAAATGAATAACATCACCAATCTAACCAGATAAACAATCCAAAGATAGGTATTCCCATCTTCTCTGATGTTCCCCTTTACTAGCTTTTCCATCAACGACATCACCGGAGACCATATACTCAGAAATATGGTGGCTCCAAGTCTAGTCCATCTCGAATCAGGCAGCCTATATGTCGGGATCTGAGATAGATACCCTTGATACTCCAATGGCAGCTTTGACTCGTTGGCACCCTCAGTAAGGAGCGTCTGGAAAAGGTGGTGTTAATATGTGCGGACTTCATCCATATACATCGGGTTACCTCACCATGTAACGCAGACTTGGAGCAGGAGGTGGATGCCTCGCAATTGCACTCCCGAGCGTCCACACCTTAACCCTAGTTCCAGTCTTTTCCTCGTCGGTGGCCTCGACCGGAACACCAGCGATGCACAGGTTCAGATATGCAGTTCCTCCCCCTTCGGAGGCGATCACATGCTTGTATTGTGCTCGGGTGATTAGATAGGCGACACCGACTACGTCAGGAAATCCCTTCTCTTCACCATCGCCGTAAGCACGAGGAGCAATAGAGCTGAAGGAGGGCTCAGAGTAGGGCATGCCAGGTATCTCCATTGCCAGTATCCAACCCGGGATGCGCACACGGGCGACTTTGAGTGGGATGATGCCGCGATCGCCGGTGAACTTCGCCGAGCTCATATTCGACCCATAAGCAAAGTACCACACTGTGTCAGACGAAGACAACATATTGCAAGCTGCTATCCTCTAATCATTAGTATGGTGGTGAACGGAATTGCCAGTAGTGCCCCACGAAAAGGACGGCATAGGTCAAGGATACAATTGACAAAGAAACTCCTATCTTCGAGTGGCTCAGAAATATTCTCATTCCGTTACACAACTAGCAGAGCCACACTTAAATCAGGCTCTAACATAAGGGGAGCACTGGTCGGATTCCGATAAGAGCGTTATGACAGTAGCCCGAATCCTTCTTCGGGGACCTGAGCGCACCCGCGCGCAAAGCAATCTGCCCGCCTACCAGTGGAAGGGACGTGGAGAATCGTTTTGATTAAGACTAATCTTATGATATCACAACGCGAATCTCGAATGATAACATCGGATACTGCATTATTTCGCATTGCATTACGCTTCGCTTTTGGCCTTCTGTTTCGGCACCAGTTAGGGATTGCTGCGATGGAGGTGTCAAGTGGTCTTACTCCTTGCCCAACGGATATCGTTTTGTTCGAAGTGGCAACAGCACTCCGCATGAGTCTATCTGATATCGATCTCAATTTGAATTTCGTTCAGAACGGCGGCGACTCATGCTCTTCCATTCAGCTTCAGGCAAGGCTCAGACAACATGGGATTCATATGCCCGCAAACGTATTGTTTGCGGCCAAATCACTTAATTGCCTCGCCAAAGAGGGAAACAGAATAACCCATAGTGAATACACGGAAACCTCAGCACAGCCTTCCCTTCGTCCTTTGAGGAGAAAGCTCTCGGCTGGTGTTCTTTCGAGCTTGAAGCGACGTGATAAAAGCGCGGTAATCCTATCAACTTTCTCAACAGAGCCCCGAGGCACCATATATACGAAGTATCGAATGACGGACATGCAATCATCACTATTACGGTCGACACAACTAGACTCGAGTCGTAACATCATATCCTACGTCGAAACCCATCGGCCTGAGAATATCCCGGCACTTAAAGGCGCCTGGATGGCTGTCTTGAAGCTCGAGGAGATCTTCAGCATGTCCATAGAGATGGATGGTTCGAACGGCTATTTGTACAAGACAACTCAAACTTTACCAGCTTGGGAAGAAGTCACTGTGAAAACCGAATCACTGCATCAGCGAGAACTCACAAACAATTCGCAAGACCCGACGAAGATGAGTTTCAAGGTCATAACTTTGAAACGACCGGGATTTCCAAATAAAAGTACCGTTATCTGGAGAATCCATCACGCTTTTATAGACGCAGCATCGTGTGCTCTCGTACTTTCCAAGGTACATGGACTTCTATCAGGGAAGCCAGTCCAACCTGGTCCCCCATTCACCGCTGTTTTATCACAGCTAGACTCGCTTCAATCTGGGTCAAGGGAGGCCGCCGTTGCGTTTTGGAAACGGTACAACGAAAGTCCCACGCCAGCTACGCGGCTTGTACTCCCTACCCCGTCAGTGGGCGAAGCGAGGCTTTCGGGAATCAATGATCGAATTTTGATCAGAACCGATATAGCTGCGTTGAAGAAGTTGGGTATGGAGGTAGGAGTGACAGCTGCATCAATCTACTACGCGGCCTTGGGTCTTGCACTGTCCAGATATACCGATTCAAATTCGGTGTGTCTTGGTGCCGTCTTTTCTGGCCGCAGTCTCCCAATCTCGGGAGTGGAGGCCACCGTAGGACCACTGATAAATACTTTGCCCTTCCTCATTCATATCGACCCCTCGTCCGACATTCGCGAATATCTGCGCCAGGTGTTCGCGTCACTTTTGGAACTCGGCTCATTCCAATGGAGCATACCAGTTCATGGATTTACACGCGACTTCACTGTCGCCCTCAGTGTCAACCTTGACAAGCCAGCAGCGCGATTGGGGGAATTTAGCCCGCTTGGTCCCCCATACAACACAGTTTACTCCGACATACCTCTGAGTATCGAGGTTGATTGGACTGGGCAAATTTACCTTAATTATCATTCAAATACCTTCTCGAAGAAGGATATCGAGCAGCTCGGTGACACCCTATCACATACACTCTCATCTATTTTAGACAGCGACCTTGTAATAAAGGTTGAGCGCTTGCTAGATGCTTTTCTTAGCGGTCAACAACAGATGGCACTGGCAAGGCTGGGAAATTGGAACGGCAGCTTAACAGGGCGCGGGTCCATATCGGACGATCTTGTTTCTATGTTTACTCGAACAGCGTCGAGGAACGCGGAGCAGCAAGCTGTCGAGCATTGTGCCATGTCCCTGACCTATGCAGACCTTGACAAGTTGTCGTCTCAAGCCGCAAGCGGACTCGCGGATCTGGTAAGGCCAGGAGATGTGGTCTGCGTCCATGCCGACGGTTCCATACAGTGGATTGTCGCCATCTTCGCTGTTCTCAAAGCAAGAGCTGTGTACTGTCCGTTTGATTCTGGGTTGTCCCAGAGTGCCCGAGACACTAATTTTCGAATTGTCAATGCCAATATCTATCTGGTTGGCAACATTGCGGGCAAATCGACGAAACCAGCTTCTTGTACAAGGTGCTTGTCTATTGAAGAGCTCTTAACCGATGAACATGTGCCTAAGACGAATGGGATCGGGCAACAAGCCTGTGTTCCAACCTCGAATGCATACATCTGTTTCACTTCCGGCACTACAGGAAAACCAAAAGCAGTGGCATGTCGTCATGAATCGCTCATTGCTTTCCAATCAGACATCGACGTGAGGCTTGGCGCGCGCCCAGGGAGAAGGATACCCCAACTGATGTCACCAGCGTTCGATGGAAGCATTCACGAAATATTCTCCGCTTTGACATACGGGGCGACGCTAGTTCTTAAGGATGTATCTCGCCCGTTCGACCACCTGAAACGATGTGAGACAGTTCTTATGACACCCTCAGTAGCACAGGCGCTAGACCCTGACCATTTCCCGAATCTTGAGAGCGTATATCTTGTTGGCGAAGCTGTGCCACAGAAAGTCTGCGATGTTTGGGGAAGGCAAAAACGCCTTTTCAACATGTATGGCCCAACCGAGGGAACATGTGGTGCGACGATAAAGTCTTTAAAAGTCAATGAGCCTGTGACTCTTGGTAAGCCTGTCCCCTCGACAAGAATCTACATCCTGAGCAGCCAACAACGCGCTGTTCCACCTGGAGTAGTTGGCGAAATCTACATCGCTGGTATCCAAGTCGCAACAGGCTACATTGGCCAAACCGATGCTACTGATAGTCGATTCATCCGCGACTGTATCAATAAACAATATGCCAATGAGTTTATGTACAAGACTGGTGATCACGGATTCTGGAACGAGCAAGGAGATCTAATGTTCCTAGGACGCGGTGATCGGCAGATCAAACTCAGAGGATTCCGTATCGACCTAGATGACCTGGAAGCTCGCATGACTCAGGCCGACGCCAATTGCACAGCAGCAGCCGTTGCTGTCATAGACGAATGTCTCGTCGCGTTGGTTCAACCGCTATCCCTCGACTTGAATCAATTCAAACTGAGACTCTGCGAGCACTTGCCGACTTATATGTTACCCCGTCACATTGTATCGACTGGCAAGTTCCCAATGACACGTATTGGTAAACTCGATTATGCGGCCGTGGCCACAATCGCCTCAACAGAGGTAGGTGCCAAGCCATCATTAACTGGCGTCGGGATCCCAGTAGAGGCTACGATAAGGGAGATGCTTGGAATCCAACTCGACGAAAGATTAAGCCCAGACTCGACCTTCTCCGAACTGGGTGTTGATTCTACACTGGCATTGCTCCTCTCCCATCGCTTGTCTCGGTCATTCAAGATCCGCATACCCGTGCGGATGGTTCTCGGCACTGCAACAATAGGGGCACTGATAGAGGAAGTCGCGTCGTCGAGTGATATATCTACCACTGCGACTGGAGATGTGCTTGGGAATTGTCGACTTTCCCCTATCGAACAAGAATGGTGGTATAAATGCTCCAAACACAAGAAAACCTCTTGTTTCAACGTCACCTACGCGTGCGAGCTCCCTCCCAGTATTGGTACAACAAGGCTTATATCTGCGTGGAATATTGTCTTGTCGAGGCATGATATCCTTCGCAGTAGATACACCAATTATGGTCCTCGTGGTCTCCATAGGACCTTTTCGCCGGGCGCACCAACAGCCAAACTAGTTCAGTCTATTGATATTCAACAGGAGGTCAACGTTCCTTTCGACCTCTCATCCGATAGCCTAGTGAGAGTTCTGGTGTCTCCGACGACAATGCTAGTTGTTATCAGTCACATAATTTGTGACTTGAAAACCCTTCAAATACTATTGAAAGAAGCCGCCGACGTCTACGACGGTGGTGCCCTGCAGCAGGTCGAGAAAACATACAGCCAAACCGTCTGGTCTGAGCCAGCTTCTCCAAGTCGTCTGTCATTGTGGACGGAGTATTTGACTGCAATGCCCCTCCACTCGTCGACATCGATTGGAAGATTTGAGACACGGAGGAAGACGTGGTCTGGGTCATCATACACTTATCAGATCCCGGCCAGCACATACTTGGCTACTAGACGCTTCGCTTTGAAAAAAAAGGTGACGATGCATCAACTTGCCACGACTGCTATGACTCTGGCTCTGAAACACGATTCCGCCGAAGATTGGGATATCACTATTGGGGCACCCTACCTCAACCGACATTCGGAAGTAGACATGACAGTGGTTGGATTATTTCTGGAACCGCTACCGATCCGTATCCGTTACATGCGTGTGACTGAACAAAGCTTGGAAGAGGTCGAGTCCCGACACAATGCAAATTTCGATAACCAGCCTATCCCCGTCAAGCCCGAACCCCCTTCTTTGCTTGAAGTAGTCCAAAATGCTAGCCGCGACGCCATCTCTTGCGCTATCCCCTGGAATCAACTTCTTACCCACATGAATATCCTGCATCCGGACTTTCCTAATCACCCTCTATTCGATGTCGTCGTGACATTTCATGAGGCCGGAGAGAACGAGACCAGATTCCCGGTACCTGGAACTCGGTATTTGCCTACGTGGTCCAAGGGAGCTAAATTCAAGCTGATGGCGGAGTTTACTGCCAGGGAAGACAGTGGATTGTCTCTCAGGCTGGAGTATAGTGATGAGTGCATTACAGAGACGGAGATAAAGACATTGGCCCGTATGCTTGACAAGGCGCTCGAAGATTTGGCGGCGGGTACGGACCACGATATCATGATAGAAAGCCTCCAGAAGTTGCGCAGGTGCCAGTAGCTGTATTTTATAAAATAATACATATTTGGTTTACCCTTTAGGAACGATAAAGCTTTTCCTCTCATACAGCACTAGTGGTGAAGATAATCAACCATGCCCCCATACATAGCAAGACCAGAGATGTTGCTGCCAGACCAGCTGCTGCGAAAAACACGACACCGCTTGCGGCAAAATACCCCTGCAAGCTGCCTAAAAGAAGAGGTCCGATCACACTGCCAAGCGTCTCCATCATCCCTAGAGCTGCGAGTGCTACAGGCCTGTCCAACACCTTGAACAGGCTCATAAAATAAGCCTTGATGAAGGAAGGCGTAGGTAGACCAATGGCTAAGAACACGGTGATGATATAAATATGCGCGACTTGGTCCGCAAATCCAAGAAACATGAGCGACACACATTGAACGGCCAATGACATTGTCGCCAGAGTCAAATCTCGCTCCTTCGCTTGCGGCCGGGACCGGCCATCCTGTGTCGACTGCCTCGCTCGCAGGCGCGAGATGACTCGGGACACCAGGTACAGACTTGCGAACACATAGGTCGCGGCGATCGAATGCACAATGGTGATGATCAGTCCGTTTTCCTTGGCGGAAAACCCGAATTTGATCGACGTGTGGACCAGCAAGGCGTCGAATATGTATGATTGAACGACGTTGTAGGAGCAGAGACTGAAGCCTATAAAGAGATAAGTAGGCCGGCGCCTGAACGGCAAAAGCGGCGATATGCCGGTTTTCAGTGCTTTCTTGAGAGCATAGATAGCCCTTTGGGTAGTACTCCTGTCTTCGGGGTTCATCCTCTCGGAGACAAGTCCCCGGTTCTCCGGTCCTTGAATTTGACGTTTTTCTGACACTCCTTTCGGCAAACAGATTTGCAGGTAACTAACAGCTATGACGAAAAAGCCAAGCGCCATGAAGAAGCTCATCGTGAAGTCCTTCAGCAGCCCCGCTATGAAGGGGCTTACCGAGATGCCGACCATGTAGAGCGCAAGAGAGTAGCTAATGAGCGACGAAGCTGTCTTTTTGTCAGAGGACTGCGCGTATAGCGCATTCAGCGAGAAATGGAGCAAATTGTCAGAGGCCAGCCCCTCGAAGATGCGGGCTGATAGCGCAACAAAGATGTTCTTGATATATACTATTGTCAGGTCGTAAGATTAGAATGGCACTCTATTAATATCAGAAAGCATCGGCCAGGGGGCAGCTCTGTTGACTTAGACGTACCACCAATCACCAACACGACGGCACTCATTGATCGGCAGATCATCCAGAGTAGCAAGCCGCGTTTCCTGTTTCGTGTTGACAGCTTTTGGAGATATCCAAGCGCGAATGTGCCGAGTATGTTGGCAGAAGATGTCGCAGCTGCAACGGCCTTGGCATAGTTGCTGGTCTCTGTCCCCTCACAGCGCCGTGGGTCCTTGCAAAGAAGAGTGGCGAAGGCAAAGTATGCTGTTGCCGCCGTCGAGGCCATGGCCAATGCGGCTAATAATGCGACTGGGAGAACGTACTGCGGAGCGAAGTCTTGTTTTATTTGGTTGACATCGTCCTGATGTGTGCCGTTTTCTCGTTGTGACTCCTCTTGCAGCAGCGCTGTAGACTCCCCGCCATGTGCGACCGGCTCGTGATCCATGTCGGCGAAATGTGGGAAACAAAACATACAGAACCTTAGTAGTGTAATGTCATTCATATCTCACATTTGAGCGGTAATTTTCAGTTCATTCAACATACATTTTAACAGTAATATTACTGATGTTTCGTCTCGGGTCTTCCGTGGTCGGCGGCCGAACAGGAAGAATACCGAACCAAACATGTCCCGCCAATACCACTCTTACTATACACACCACTACCGCCGTAGATGGGGTAGAAAGCAAACATGAGATTCCAGTTCCGAATCAGAATAAATACGCTGTGCGATTGCATTATACCAGTCACGAAATTGACTGCTCTCTAAAATAGCAACAACTTTTCTACTCTTCTCAGCATTCACGTGCGCAACGATGGAATCTACTCTCCAGCAACTGATTGAGTCGCTCAAAGCAGCATCGCGGGATCTTAGTGGCAACCAACATGAGCAATTACAAACCAAGCTGCACAACACAGACAAGCTTCCTGATCGGAACGTTTTCTTGCTAGCGTCTGAAGCCTTGAACCTTCTTTCTGAAGTACGGCTACTACTAGAGCCCGGGCCTTTGATATTGGCTGATCACTTCATGGGTACGACTTCCTTTATAAACTATATCGTTATATAGCCACGGCCAAGCTGCTAACCGAAAGTTTATCAAGGGTACATGAGCACAAAGGCATTGTGTGCTGTTGTGGATTTGAACATCCCTGATATTCTGAGATCAACATCACAAGGGGTATCTATACCAGAACTGGCAAAGCTGTGTCATGCGCGACCCGACCGTCTCCGCCAAATCATGCAAACCCTACACAACAATGGGATTTTTGCATATCATGCGGACACAGCCCAGTATAGCAATAACCACGTGTCGACGCTGCTGTTGTCTGATCACTGGACTCAATGGCGAAATTGGGTAGAGCTCTACGGCAACGAGTTCTACGAGATGGCCTGTGGCATCCCCGCGGCCTGTCGGGAAGACGCTACGCGAAACCCGGCACAGGTCGCCTTCGACACCGATGATACAATGTTCAAGTATTTCAACGACCAAGGCTGGATTGCCAGGTTCCAAGCTACTCTCGGCGGAGGCGCTATAGCCCAGGCCCCGGGAATCGTGGAGGACTATCCTTGGGACGACGTGGCCGAATGTCGAGTCGTAGATATCGGGGGAGGGGGTGGCGGACTGATAACGTCGCTTCTCCGCAGGTACAGCACTATGAAAGGAGCTATCTTTGACGTGCCGTGGGTAATCGAACAAGCGAGGAAGAACATTCACGAATCCACGGGCCCTTATGCTGACGTCGCTGATCGGATTCCCTTGGTAGACCTCGTTGCCGGCGATTTCTTCCGCGAGGTGACACCCTCAGAGGTGTATACCATCAAATGGTGCCTTCACGACTGGGACGACAAAGAGTCAGCCATCATCCTGAGAAATGTTCGAAAAGCGATTATACGAAGCCCTAAATGTCGCCTGGTTATCCTTGAGAGTGTCCTAGCGGATGGGCACATGGGGCGAATGTCGAGGTATGGCGATATGAATATGATGGTTGCTGTCGGGGGAAAGGAAAGGACCGAGATGGAATGGGGACAGTTAGCCATGGATACCGGATGGCAATTGAGAGAGATATTTCCACTGAGGAACGCCTGGCCATGTGCGATTGAGTTCGTGCCTGTCTGGGGCGACACCGCGACATAATGAACATTCGCTGTCTCAGGAGGATGTCACTACGCACCCGCGATCTAGATGAGCAAGCTATCGAGTCCAACAAATTTATATTCCTAACAATGGTAATATGACGCGGTGCACCTTATCAGCCTTTAACTACGGTCATACTTCTACTTAGAAAATACACAATTACGTCCCATTCAGTCGCGCAATTTCGTCCGCCTTTCCCAGCATTTAATCTCAGTGTTAGGATGAAGGATCCAGGTCGACGGATTCTTCTCCCAGCATGTGTCATCATCCAATTCCAAATCGTAGTTCTCAAGCAATTGAGCGATTATGCATCGAATAATGAGATCAACGACATGCTTCCCCTGACACTGGCGAGGGCCGAAGCCAAAGCGCCAGAAATGGTATCGCATCTCCGATGGTTTCTTTTCTAGGAATCGGGATGGCCGGTATTGATCGCTGTCGAAGCCCCAGTATGGATTTTCAACATTTAACGCGTGAGTATCAACAATGAAGTGTGTGCCGGCCGGCATAGTATAGCCTCCTACGACACGGTCTGTCGGCGCGGATTGCGGGACTGAAAATGCGGCGAGGGGCTTGAGGCGACTAGACTCTAAGGCTGAGGCAGCCAAGAGCGTGCTTGATCTTTGTATGTAGTTATTCATCTCTTCGTTTGAAGCTTCTTTGAATAGCCCGGTCATCTCGTGCCGAATATCGCCCTGAACGGTGGGATTCGCTGCAAGGAAGAGCAGAATCCAAGACAGCCCTCCCATCGTGACATCGAGGTTGGCGAAGAGCATCTCGTCAATCGTCTGTAATAACTCTTCATGAGTGATGTCGCCGCTTTCTACTGTGTCGTACCAATCCAATATTGGCACTCTTCGTGTTGTTGCGAGTTTTGCCGCATGAGCTTGGGCATCATTGTTGAACTTGGCCCAGCGCCTTTTGAACTCAACCAAATTCTTTGAGACTGTTGGAAGCAGATGCCGCCCCCACGAGTAACGAACGATTCCCCCTTGCATCATCCGTTGCCAAAGCGACTCCCTCAATTCTATCAACCCTTCTAAGTCATGTTGGAGATTTTGACTCAGTGGGCCGTAAATGATGCATGCCATGATATGGAATGGAAGGAACCTGAGATCAGCAACCGGATTGATCCGATTTCTCTTTAAGCACCCTTCGGCAAGAGTCTCGAAATGGTTTTTGACGGCTGTTGCTATCAGGTCCATATACGTCGAGGCCTGGGTCTGCGTGAAGGCTGCGTTCGTCGCCGACCGTAGGTTTTTATATCGAGGTCCACTGATCAACCCGACACACTGCCCAAGAAGCTGCCCCATTAGCCACCCCGCGTGGTTGTTGATAGCTTTGACGTGTTTGTCCGAGTCCTTGAAAACAGTTTGTATATCAATAGGATCTCGCAATACCCTGCGAGTCTGTCAGTTTCAGCATGTTCAATATTGTTGGACAATCCGTACACTTCACCCGTGAGCCCATTCCATATTCGATAAACCCTGCCGTATTTATTTCCCCATTGCGCACTATTACTTTCCCCCTCTAAAAACTTGGCAACGTCGCCCTGTCCATTTGGCCATTGATAACAGCAAGTTGGAAGCTTGCGATTGCTTGAGAAAGAGGAAATCGGATATTTCCACAACAGATAGTACTTGAGATGAAACGAGATACTCTTAGTCATAGATCTTCTACGGCCTGGTTGGCTGTAACTCACATTAATGGTCTTAGATACCAAGACCTGAATAACGCCCCCAAACGTTTTCCTGAACATTGGAAGCACGCAAAATGTGACAGCGAGAGCGGCTGGTAAAACTACGAGCGATAACTCGGCCATTGTATCGGTTTTGGCGTCAACGAGCATCTGAGAACTCAAGGCTATATCAGATCTCATTGAAATTTATGAATAATTTAAGATCAAGAGACTAATGCTTGAATAGGAGTGAGTGACTGTCACTAACTCAATCCGTCGGCTACCGAACTACCAGCCCACACTCAATCATATCCCATTTTACTTCACCAAAGGCTCAAACACTGCGTGAAGGGAAACACGATGAAGACCAGATAATTAATCAGTCAAGTGTCAAACTCGTGCCCATACATCGGCCCCTTCTTCAGGATTCTCTGCACTGCCCGGCGCGCCAACATGCGATCACTCCAATTTTTAATGTGAGGCCAGTCCTCGATTTTTACATTAAAGAAACCGAACATCCAAGGTATCGCGAACGGTAAGTACGATATGTCGGCGATTGTAGGCTGGTCTTGTAAAGCAACGTAGTCTTGGCCTGCGACGGACAGTCTGCTCCCCAGGATGTCCCACTGCTTCAGCACATTCTCGTGGAGTCTTTTCGGGTGAAAAGGAATGTATCAGTACGAGAACATGAGATCGATCTCGGAGATCTTTTGCGCTATAGGACGATTCAAGACTTACTTTTTGGTCGTTTTAGGCAGTAGTTCGGGATTCTTTCTATTAGGGTAGCCTTTGAGGAAGTATAGCCAGTACTCGGCCGTGGCTCTGGAGCCATATTATCAGCAGATATGCTTATTTGACCCGATGTTCTGCTTCGCGAATATCAAAGGCACCTACCCGAGACCAGCTGTCTGGTAAGCAGTCCAGGACAGAATCGCAGCCTTCTCCCATGCATTCCTGCCGTTCCATGCACCGGTTGGATCAGCCCGATCAGCGAGATACTGAAGGCAAGCCGTGCTCTCAAACACTATAATCTCCTTCTTGGAGTCTGGGTCTTCATCTCTCAAGGCAGGGGCGTATCTCTCGGGATGCACCCGATAGTACCATTCGTCTTTGGTATCAATGATGGAGACTATGTAAGGGCATTCGAGCTCCTCCGCCAGAATGAGCGGCTTGATGTAGTTGATATAGTTTGTTTGATCCGCTATAATTGATGTCAGTTCTCGAAGCATGTAAACTAATGAATGTTTCTTCTTGTTTTTTTCACCATGGGCATTACCTTTGATTATGTAGATGATGATGCGGCCATCATAGACAGGATCTCCCTGTACCACTTCAGCGCCCATGTCGGCCAGCATCGATGTTCTCTATTTAGCTTCGTAACTAATCCCTTCTTTTTCCCCTTTGTCCACCTCAAAATCACGTTCTCGATCTCATTTAAACCGAGGAAGTGTCTCTAAGGTGTTTTGGCCGATGCATTGAAGTCTTTAGGCATTATATTGGTAGTGATCCCCTGCCGCATCCTCGCAGAGCCATCCCCAATAGGACATAGCACATGTAAGCCTAATCTCGGATGCCGAACAGCGACCCTCAGAGTACACCGACCTATGCAGCTCAGCACTTTAGACATTGAGTCCGTATTCTCTTCTGGATAAGTGTCACTTCGAGGATCAATTAGCATCGTTCGCTTCCAAACGGGAGAAGAAAGTAGACTGATTAGAGTAATACATCCAGGATGGTCATCGGTGACATAATTGTGTTGAAGGTCTCGGCTACCGGCCCGCCGATACTACAACCATCTGAGACCTCAACAGATGGAAGGGGATGTTATCAACGGGCCGCCATTTCTGCCGTCTGTGATCGATTCTCTCGGTGTCTCAGTCATTCGCTCCTCAATAGGCAGGTTGTTCTTTCAGTAAAATGGTGTCCCTTGATGCATCCGGACTCTCTTCTCGCGGCTGCGGCGAATGTGGCTGCAATTTGGCCACGTATAAGCAAAGCCGTCGAGGCGCGGGAGCAGCAGAGCGCCGAAACTTCTCCGATAGATCTGTCGACATCGGAGAATTGGCTCATTCGGGGAGAGCTGATCAATCTATACAAGAATGCAGTGCAGGACAACCTATCTAGCCAGGTGATGATTTACTCGTTAGACAATGACGTATCTGCCGTGCCCGTTTGCTAATTGCCTGTGTAGCACTTATCCTATCCCGATGGATTCAATGGAGACTCCGGGCTCACTCGCGCCTTGGCTGAATTCTTCAATTCCTGGTTCTCGCCTGTGATCCCCGTCGAAGTTCCGCACCTCGCAGTTGCGCCTGGGGCGGCATTTGCTTTAGATACACTGCTGTATAACATATGTGATCCTAGCGATGGCATCCTCATTTCTACGCCCTCATGGAGTGAGTTGCCCCCGTCCCATGATTGACGTGCTCTGGTCTGCATCATAATAACACATCGCGGAATTCGCAGATGGTTTTGACTGGTTGATCGATGTTCGATCGAGTGTGAAGCCAATCTTCAACAGGCTGCAGAGTCTGGATGACGTCTTTTCTCTTAGAATACTTGACTCACTGCAGGAGGCCTTTGATCAGTCCCAAACTCCCATTAAAGCCTTGTTGTTGACAAACCCTCATAACCCACTAGGTCAGGCCTATCCGAAAGACGTGATCATCGCCGTACTCAATTTCTGTAATGATAAGCAAATTCATTTCATATCGGATGAAATCTACGCAATGACTAGGTTTGAAAATCCAGACCTGCCCCGCCCAGTCTCCTTCACCTCAGCTTTACAACTCGACGTACAGCAATTGGGGTGTGACCTGTCACGCGTACACACCATCTGGAGCACCAGTAAAGACCTAGGCTCCAGTGGTCTTCGAGTGGTAATTTCAGCACATCACCGCACCATCTTTAGTGTGCGATGAAGGCTGACTCCATACAGGGATGCTGCATAACGCAGGGCAATAAACCGCTAGCCACTGGACTAGCACTGGCGTCTAACACGCAGACATCCTCCTTGGCCGCCATTGCAACAGCCAGTCTGTTGTCATCTCCTGTTCTCCATGACCTCCTCAGTTCAAACGCTCAGCGTCTTTCAGAAGCATACACCCGTATGACGGCTGTTTTGAAGAAACATAACATTCAATACATACCGGCAAATCAGACTCCGTTCCTTTTCGCCAAGGTAGCGCCTCGCGCTACAACTTGGGAGCAGGAAGAAGCTTTTGGGGAAGCGTACAAGCAAGCCGGTGTCGCGATTTCTCTCGGTCGGGCCTATCACGTACCGGAAGGAGAGAAAGGGTGGGCGCGTTTGAACTTCGCCGTTGAACCTCAGAGTTTGGTTGAAGCGTTGAATCGCCTGGATCAAGTACTAGGTAGACGCAGTACTGAGATGGAAGAGTCCCAAGAATGAGATTGAGCCTCAACCCAGATACATCGAAAACTCTCTCGAATATCACATGTATAAGAAGAGCCCAACAGTTTCATCAGAGATAACCACCTAGCATTCCAGAACGTTCGAAACATGCTTGATTGTTAAGATGCTATAATATGGCTATTGGGTCGTATTTGACTACAAACAGCCAGTTGCGAGTATGTTAGTCCTATAGACACTTCGATCTAGTTTATCCTCCTTGCCCGGTGTCGATTCTGGGTGCCAGAATCGCGATGACTCTTCGTCCTTCTACTACGTGGAATCTCCCATTCACGTTCGACGCGACACTGCGTAGTTCCGTAGTTGGGGAACCCATTCCTGTAGCAGCGCACCAGACAAGGTAACGGGGAACAACGGTTGCTCACCAAGACGCATGCGGAGGTATACGCCCCCGGCCCACCCGATCGAGTACCAGAGAGTGCCCACCACCCACGTATAGCCAAGCAATCGCACCGCGTAGCCATTCTCCCCAGTTGGCCCCCCGAGCCAGTGGCGCCATATATGTTTTACGCCGTCCTCGAATGTGATCGCGGCTGCCTGCCAGACGAAGAAACAGAGTAATCCGACTGTTCTCTCTTCTATGGTGATGTTACTCGGGCTCGGGAGAATCAGCATAGATGCGGCATGCCCGATTCCCGAGATCACAAACGACAGCCATAGCTGTGTATACCGAGATTGCCAAGTCCCCGGCTTCATGCCACAGGCATCGCGAAAGGCACTAGTCCACGCATGAAATAGGCGGCGTAGAGTCTGATGCCAATATTTGCCCCAGAAAACTCGGAGTGTGGTAGTTTCGGAAAGGCGTCCGAAGCTCCCTGGCCAATCTGCAGGCCTGCTCATACCAGTGATGACCGCGATTATCGAACTGACACTATACTGAACCTGGATGATGTAGTATGGTTGCACCGCGAACGTCAAAGCGCGGACGAAGCTCCAAACCACGCTCCTTTCATCCCGTATCGTGAGGAGTTTGGAGTCAACATCTCCCCGCAGTAGAGTGACTTCATTTGTGTAGAACACTTGTAAGGCGGTCTGACCGGCCAAATCGGCCATTAGGAGGTAGTAGACGGCGGCGATGGTGCGGTGAAGAAGAAAACGCGCTCGAGATTGAATCAGCGCATCTGGCATTTTGGGCACGTTCTTGACCTCGTAATTCCAGCGCACTCCGCGCATGTTGAACATGAGTACCAATGCCCACCTAATTTTCCGCACTCCGAAAGACGCATACGCCGTCGCCTCTCGGGCGGGCATGTCAGATCGCCAGAATGACATCTCCGTAGTCGCTGTCGACGGTATCAACACCAGCTTCTCGAGCGTGGTCAAGTATATAGACCACGTAAGCGAAAAGGGCTGAGCAACGTCAAAGTCAGAGGAAAAGTTCGGATGTAGCCAGCATTGTGTCATGAGGGCTATCGTTCCGATGATTGCGACAGCCCGGCGGTATCGAAACGGGGGACCCGCGAGAAGGCAGAATTGGAGAGCTATCAGCGAATAGTGTGGCCATGGAGAACCGTGGGGCTCGCGGAGGTCATGGTTGGCGACAGTAGACGAAGCCATATCACCGTCGGCGACTAGAGCAAGAAGCGATCCACCGGTGAAATAGTTATTCGATGCACAATGGCAATCATGTAGTACATACGGTCTATAAATATACGATCTACAAAGATGCTTGCGGGCCGTGTAGTGCTTTTATCATCGTTAACTGTCAGCAGTACAAATTTTTTCGCATTTGGTACCCAAGATACGGTTGCCGAGACGGGAACCGAAAACACAACGAACGCATCTCAAAAGCTGTGGGAACAATAAAAGAGGTTAGCACTCTAGTGCCCCTTTGGCTGATCATTGAAATCTTCGAACGTGGTAGTATGGAATATGTATTGGTGTAAAAAAACAATTACGTAGGTTTCCAGCCCAGTTGCCTACCTGTAGGTGGTCGATGACCTCCCGGAACGACGATCAATCACTACAGCATCGTACTCCGTATATGGTAACATACCTAATTTGTATGGATCCGCGAGTGGTAGGAGGCGAGCAAGGTCTGCCTACCTCCTAGGTTACAGTGCTTATATAATCCATATTACTCCTTAAATTCTGGCCCCTGAATTGAGCTATACATCTGCCTCACTATTGCCAACTGTGGCTCAGACTTCTGTGTCTGACATCTTGAAGGCCAGAACCCAGATGCAAAAAACCTATGAACTAGACGGAGCTCCCGTAATCAGCTTAAAGGCGGTTCTTGCTGTTTCCACATCTGACAAAGCTTGATGCTAGTTATTCATCACTTGTCAACTACACAATGTACTTGGAATCAATTCAGAAGGTTACAAGAGCCTATTGCTAGAAAGATGTTGTTTTAGTGGTATACCGTATACTCACTGTATCTTCAGATGACGCCGAGTGGTGGCAGCCTAATCATTGCAGATATGGTGCGAGGTCGACTGCAGAGATAGCTTCGCTCAAATTTAAAGCCTGCCAATTTGTAGCATTCAAGGGAACAACAACCTTGCACTTCTTAACAGAAACCTCCCCCCAAAACCATAAGTTTTACACATAGAAAATTCTCATGCGCTCAATGCTAGGCAGCTTAAATAGCTTTTCTTTCGGAATCATAATTAATTTACCATTACTGCTAAATTTACATAATTCGCAATAGGAGCAGGTACACTAGCATATCTTGTCCTATAGAATCAGTGACAATATTGAGTAAACTCTGTTGAAAATTTTCGTGGGTTGATTTCTATTGGAATCCAGTATGTAACTAGGTCATAAGATTGAATTCAACCCCCAAAGTAAAGTAGAATAAGCAGGATGGAAAGGTAGATGGGCCTAGAATTAGATTCATAGTCACAACTTTTGAATCCCCAGCAATACAATTTTGATAGCAATCGAGCTATGAAGAAAACGAGCCCTAATAGGTGTTAATATATTATAGCTGACATCATGAAGATTGTTGGCGAAATGGGAGAGGTTTCTGAGAATCTCAATGGGTTCACGGGCATCGTTTGCTACATAAGAGATGCCACCAGTTAGTTTATTTGTCAGATGATGTGGATAGATTTTAGCTTACCGTGCAAATGAGAATCTCCGGTTCTTTCGAGGCGTGCCAGTCTAAGCAAGAAGCTTCTGTTGCATGGTTCAAAGGGGTCGACAGAACACCCAAAGTGGATACGTACTTGTAGTAGGAAATTTAGGTCTCTCGGTGTGAGTAGTGAGTTGTTCAGTTCGTCATCATTAGGGGTCTGAGTCCACGCCGACTGGAATCTAGCCCAAGCCCTATCTATAATATTCACTCCATTGAGCATTGGGTCATTTAATGGAGTGAACAGACGGTCAAGATCAGAAATTATCCGCGCAAATTCCGACATGCATATTCCCTGAGGCATTCTGTCGCTTAGGTTTGAAATGTAATCCAACACCCAAGGAGATAAGACATCCAGAGGACGACTTCGGTAGCAAACGGAGAGAATGGCCAACTTCACGAACTTGGAGGATTGAAACCCTGACAGGCGTGCTGTAATTTGGTAGGCCTTTCTGAAATATATGGTGCTTACAATTCGTTCTTCGTTTGCACGAAATATGGCCTTGCAGTGATGATATGCCCGAGCGAGAGACATCACTGATTTCATGTCCGTCATCTCGCAGAAAATGCCTAGTTGGATCTCGTACGGCAGGGGAGTGATCCTATTCGCATCTTCTGTAGCGGAATCCATCTTGCTTTGGATTTCAGACTGAGGGGGCGGGTGAGAGAACAGTGCATTAGCAGCATTGGATTGGTGAAGAATTTGGGTAACGAATGAGATAGGTATCGTGGTATGATTTGCTCTCTGAACTTTTCGCGTCAGGTAGTGACTCGGAAAGTTAAGAATGGGGTAATCGGGTAGTTCTTGTGTATAACCTTTAGAACTGCGAGTGGCTGGAATCATCAATGTCCCGACTTCCAGTGTTAAGCGAACTGTGCATCACTCCACCTAAGGAAAAAACTGAGCATATGGTGCGTTGACTGCAGGATCTAGATGAAAATCAGTAAATTTCTTGTTACATTACAAAGGTGACTCAACGAATCGAGCCGGTCGTGAGGTTTCATACTATTCTATGCAGAAGTCGCCCCCGATCATGAGCAGGACCTATCTGAATCAGCCTGAATTTAGTGTAGGCCTGAGTCGAGGAGGGTGTTGCTGTAGGCATCAAGTCTTGTGCCGACCAGAGGACAGATCGAAGAAGGCTAGGCCTAGATCTAGAAGGGACTTGATTTAAGACGAGGCAGGTAAGTGCCGCTACTTCCCGATCACGGTAACCCAAGATTGAGTAGATACTACCTACCTACATGTAGGTAGGTAAGTAGTAGGGACCTTGAATGTTGTTAACTTGGGTTAGGTAAATGCATGTATGTATGTAGTTACCTAATATGCAGACGGAAGTCTCGCAACTGATGTTTCTCGGGGGTTGTGTCTGCTCTTGCCGTGAAAGATCTCAAACGCACGTGTGGGTGGAAGCGGACTCAGGTTCAATCCCTCTGGCAACCACAGGCATATAAGCGCTAGAAGATGCATGAGAACAGAATGTCGAACATAAAAACGTATTTAGTACCGAGGATCCTGTTTCACAAGGCACCTAGGCAGATGTAGAGGGTACCTGGTGGTATGCTAGTGATCTATATGACTACTGCGTAATACCTAGGTAGTCCATGTATAACTTCTCAGTTCCAACCTCAACAGACGTGGCTGATGCCATCTCGAAAGCGTAGGGGGATCATTGAAGACCCGCGTCTTCAGTATCTGTCGCTATCTTCGCATATCGTTGTGTAAAAAATGAACAACAATACTCAAGCACTCACAGGCCCACAGACCTGCTGAACGAAGTGCTTCAGGTTGTCTTGATTATATCTGCATCTTTTGCTTTAACAGTACCATAGACTGTCTCGTAAGAGATATCACGATGTATTTGATTGTCTTCCGGCTACGACGAATTAGCCACCTAACTCAGCCAATCCCACTCCGTGCCGAACCAGGGTCTGTGCTTCATCATCCACTTATGCCATTTTACGTTGAATCTGACATTAAATTCTGCTAATACTCCCCACGAGCCTGAGAACCAAGTCAGGGCCGTCGTGATCCTCTCCCAAAACATCAAACATCTCAAACTGATGAGGGGCATCCCAACGATACTTTAACCCCCTTTACCGCAGCCTAACTTTCCAGTCTCTTCGGCAGCTCGTTCGGAGTCGAATTACCAAAAGATTTTGGCAAGTAGCCCAAAGATGGACACCGACTTCAGTACCAAGCGGTATCACATGGCCATCAACCACGAAAGGCTGCTCGGTTGGAGATACGAGCACTTCGGGTTCACGCCACAGGGGGCTAGGAGTGGGAGGCGTCATGCGCAGAGACTCACAAACGACAGCGCATAGATAGGTGCACGACGCAAGCTTGGGTCCAGGCTGAATCTCATCACCAGATGAGAGTGTGTTTCGTATTTCCGTGGCGAGGCGGGTATACGCGTCCTCATGGCACGAAAGATGAAATAAAGCCCTGCAGATGGCTGTCGCTACCGTGGAGCCCCCGGCTAAGACGAAGAACAATGCTTCTCCGCACAGCTCGCTATGGTGTAGTCACATGTCGCCGGTGACTACGGCGTAGAAGTCTGTTTTAATTCGGAGGCTGCGACGTGCGCTCCGTGATCATCTTAGCAACCGTTTGAGAAAACTGATTGGTGGGCGGGCGAACAGCGGTCAACTCCGATTTCGAAAGGTTAGAATGAAAGGCTGCGTATTTGCCTTGTTGGTCTACATTGCAGCTAACATGATGCGGGCAGGCAACCACATTCCTTACCTAATATCACCGTTCTTCCCCTCACTTTCTGACTTTGTTCAGAGCAGTGTGAGTCAACTCTGGAGAGGGGATAGCCTATTTAAAGAACGGTGAAATTGTGGCTATATTGCTTTTGTCTCGAAATAACAGTATCGACTAGACATATCTAAATCGACAACATAGCTCAAATCATGGGGAGCGTGACAGCTTCCAAACCTAGTCCAACATACAGCTCTTTCTGCATGCTCGAGCTGTATGATGGGGAAAACTACGTCGAGTACATCTTCAAGGCAAACGGAAAACTATTTGTCATCAGCGTCCATACGACAGACCTTGCGGGTCCAGGCAGCTTGCTTGAGGAATTTAATTCACTCCGCCGTGATCTAGACCGTTTTAACAAATTCGAGGACTGGTTTCTCGAGCCTGCCGAAGATTTCATACGAAGTGTAGCCCCAGCACTCAAGTCCCGTGCCCGCCAGTCTACGACTCTTCGCGATTACTACAGCTGTGAAACCTTTCATCTCAAGCTCAGGAACGAAGCCGGCCAGCTGCACGCCATTCAACAGCCGTACATCGAGCAAGGAAAAGAGAGTTTTATTCCCCGACTTAAGGTCATAGACAACGCGCAAGGTGTTGACTTCCATTGGTATGATAGGCACTATCGTTCGATTCCACGCTTCTCACTAGCTGGCGTGCCTCGGTTCTTGGCTTCTGAGATAGAGCGCGTAGATGACGACCTGCGTGATTGGGAACTAGACGATAGGCCACGCAAGGTTCGCCAGATAGGTACGGACAAGGTATTTTACTTCAAAGGTGCCTTTTACAACCGTCGGTGCTCGCGGGAAATCAAGATGCTTTCCCAAATTGAACAAAACACCAAGAAGTTAAGGGCAACAGACCCGGCCTATGCGACGGCTATGCGAACATCGAAATTGGTTGGCATAGTCATGTGGGATGACGAGGAGACTGTCATGGGTCTACTGCTGGAATATGTCGAGGGTCAAACACTCTGTCAGCTTCTATGGGAGGAGGAGCACAACAAACACAGAATTGACCCAGCATCCAAGACAAAGTGGGCAGCACAGATCGAATCGACTCTGCGATATCTGCATGGTATTGGTATCATCTGGACTGGTGCATGGACCAGCAATGTTATCATCACCTCTGGCAATGACGCTGTCCTTGTTGACTTCGGAGGCGATTCAGCGCCCATGTATATACCGCTCGAAATCCTCCACACTGTTGAAGGCGACTTCTTGGGGTTGAAGCGAATAAAGGAAGACCTGAATCTCGATCTATCCGATATGCCTCCATCTTCCAAACTATGAGGGAATTGTCATTGCTCGATGTGTTCGATTACTAGAAGACGCCCGCAATATTCACTCGTTGGTTCACTGATGGGGGGTGTTTATATACAAATTGAACCATTCTAGAGCTATTTCGATGCCATATTGCTAGCAACTTATGTATTTGAACAAAAGTAAGCGGGGTTGTGCTAAACGTAGCTCATGTAATGCCTCGAATTCAATCAAGTCCATTCATATGAGGAAATAAGAAATATTTATCAAGATGAAAATTTATTCGGGCGGTTTTGAGTTAAGATGTCAAGAACACCACGTGCTACGCGTATTGGTTGTGCTGATCTTCAACTTAGCTATTGGCCTGCATGAGATTGACTGGTGATGCCATTTTGGAGAAATAGAACGTCGTAGCGCGGGAGTGGGGAACCAGAGCACAACGAGAATAACGGGTCAATCAGCGTCCATGCCGGACACTATCCAACATTAGCTTCATTCCGTTTTCAAGCATCGAAAAAGCCGTTGTCGCGTCTTTCCAATTTCTACACTTCTGGTACCTCTGCACCAAGTAATTCACAAGTACAGCCAGGCTTGCCCCGCAGCTGCAAGTGTTTTATCGGGCATTCACCTTGGCGGGGTGTTAAAAGCTGACAAAAAAACCGCGATAGACAGCAGCTCATTCTGTGACAGCATTTGACCAAAGTGCTACGGATACACAATGGATGCCCAAGAAGAGCCCGAGAACAACCACCTGGTCACTTCAGAGGACCAGGACCATCCAGCCAACCTCATTCCTTCGCTGTGTGCCAAGTTCTGGAACCTGGGGTGGGTTACCGGAACAGGAGGCGGATGTTCCATTCGAGACGGGTAAGACAAGCAACTATTTTCTTACTTCACTCAGGATGCCATTCCTTCCCGTCATTGAAGTACAATAAGCTTCTTATCATAGCATCCGTCTGACGTCATGTCGTCTCATCGTCTATGAGCCGAGCCCTTTTGTCCATGAATGAAACCAGACTATCTATCTCACATTTCTCATGTTAGGGATTTGGTGTACATCGCGCCCTCGGGCGTGCAAAAGGAGTTGATGAAAGCAGAAGACCTCTACGTCCTCTCGCTCCAACACCAACAGCCCGACCTCAAGAACAGAACGTACCTGCGCTCACCACCCCACGGCAAGCCCTCGCAATGCACGCCGCTATTCCTCGCGGCCTTCACGCGGCGCGGGGCCGGTTGCTGCATCCACACGCACTCGCAATGGGCGGTGCTCGTGACGCTGCTTCTCGAGGCGCAAGGGCCAGGGCGCGACAAGGTCTTTGAGATCAACAATATCGAGCAGATCAAGGGCTTCGGCCGCGGCTTCCTGAAGTCGGGGAACCTGGGGTACCACGACACGCTGCGCATCCCCGTCATCGAGAACACGGCGCACGAGGAGGACCTCACCGAGTTCATGGAGGAGGCCATGGAGAAGCACCCGGACACGTATGCCGTGCTGGTCCGGAGACATGGTGTTTATGTGTGGGGGGATAGTGTGCACAAGGCGAAGACGATGTGCGAGAGGTAAGTGGACATACCTAATCCCGTCAAACTATGCTGTCGTTTCTGGGAGCAAACTAACGAGTGTTCTTTTTTTTTATAGCCTCGACTACCTATTTCAATTGGCGGTGCAAATGAAACATCTCGGTCTGCCCTGGTTAAGTGACGTTGCGGAGACGCTGCCAAGTCACAAAAAGTGAATAATTAAATAGAGGTAAGACTGGACAATCAGGCAGCGGACTTGGAATTGAAATATTAGCCTGAGATATTTCAAAACTTCAATGAAAAATCTTGAATATCGCCGATAAAAGATCGCATTTCATTTAGCTGCTTTTAAGCTGACATGCAATCTCGTACGATCCGACCACAGCCCCCAACCTCCCAAGATCACAATGCATTTTCTCATGTTGAGCTAGCGTCATCGTTTCTCTTGAAAAACCACCGCCCCCTTCCTTTTCGCGTCCTGAACCTACACCCACTCCCAAAAATACTCATACCTCACTCTCATTAAACCTTCAAGTATCCTGAACACCTTCGCCTAGTAATGCATGACAAGAATTTGCGCGATAAGCGTTTGATGGGTTAAGGAATAGTCTACAGGGCAAGAATGCCAGCAAGCAGACCGAAGAAAGTGATTCCAGTGCCGATAGGGCCGTAGACAGCAGCGCCGTTGTCAGAGTTGGTCATGGTGCTGGCGGGTGCGTCCGAGGCCTGGGAAGCGGTCTTCGGGACCTCGGTGACGAAAGTTGAGCCGCCGGATGTGATGGTTGTCTTGACTTCACCAGTGGCCTCGGAGGCGCTGTTGCCGCCGGCCTTGGTGGCTAGGTTGGGCGTGCCGGTGGAGGTGTAGTAGTACTGGCCAATGCAGCCCTGGACACAGTCGGCGTAGGCGTCGTTGTCGGCCTTGCTGCCGTTGCCCTGGGGGCACGCGGCAACGCAAGAGGTTGTGGCGTTTACGTTCTGGGTGTCAGGGCTGGGGACGGCAATGCAGTTGGCGCGGCACCTGGTGTCACTCTCATCGCCTAGAAGATATAGCGTTAGATCATGGACTGATGAGTGTTTTGACGTGGAGTTTTCTCGTAATATCATGGCTACTCTATCTATTGATAGTCTCTTGGGTTTTGTTTAGGCGTATTACTCACAGTCGTCAAGACAAGCCTGGATCTGAGCAGCGAGGGAGGATTGAGCAGGGTCGACGGAAGCAGTGCTTGAAGCCACGGCGGTGCCAGCAGAGGTCGAGGACTGGGCACTGGCGGCAACGGCGAAGAGGCCGGCGGCGATGAAGGCAGTGAAACGCATCTTGGATGATAGAATTAGACTATTATAAAATGGTAGTTATATAATATAGTATAATAAGAGCGAGTGTTGCTTTTGGTTATTTAACGAGTGTCGTGAAGAAGTTGGCCCTAGAAGAAGATCTTGGAGGGGTATTACGAAGGGAAACAGCTTGAAGAGAATCCTTGACGAGAGAGAAACCTAGAAACTGGAGGACCAAGACGATACAGGGAAAATTACGACTTTTAAGACACAGTGGGCAGACCCCCAGGGGGGGTCGAACCAGAGGAACAGCCCAAGAGGCAAAATACCTAAGTGACCAAGAAAGGCATCGGTATATAACATCTGAAATTATACTGTGGGATATGTGAGCATGTGAGGTGAGGTAGGTATCCTGGAATTCCGCGGCGCGACAGGAGTACCTCGCGTCCTTACTCTATGGCGTTAGCTGTCAATGTGCTTGAGCATTGCCTGATCTGCTTGGATCTTGCAGTAGGGGTAGACTTGCATCGCGGAATTAGTCCCACACAGGTTTAGCCCCATCTAACGATTCCAGCCTTGATTTTTTTTTTTTTTTTTTTTTTTTTTTTTTTTTTTTTTTTTCTCTCTTTTGATTTCCGTCCGGGGAAGCTGGACATAGAGTAATGATCGCCCGTCGCAGGGGAAATTGGCAGCTGATTCACTGGATTTCTTAGACTTAGGTAGTACACTAGGTACATGTACCTACTTTGCTGGCGGCTCGCTAGGTACATTGCTATGCAGCTCGTTGGCTGGACAAGGGTGGTTTTCAAACCAGATATCGTGTCTTTGCGTAATACGACCACGTCCCTTTGTCGTCAGTGACCAGCTCTAGCTGAGGGCATAACTTGATTATTTATGCCTCCTCTCTTTTTTTTCCCCACTGAAGATTCATACTAGGTACCATCATCGTTTTTTTTTATCAGCGTTTGCTAAGCCCTCAAGTCTAGCTGGGCACCTAACACCAGACTTGAAGGCTAGATAGCCCGCTGGTAGACTGTAAGTAGGTCCACGATCTTTAGTTGGCTAGGATGATGGGCCCACGCGCCATCAGACTTCGTAATTTTATTTCCCAAGCCATTGTCTATGCGCCCCATTTCAGCTGCTGGCTGTTTGCGATTTCCCGCGATCAGACAAGGAAACCGAATAGCAGCCGAGGGATAGAAATGAAGTACCATTGGCTCTGTTGTCTGTGCTTTGTGGAGATTATCGTAAGTAGGTATTGCAACACGCGGGACCTGGTGTGGTACCGTGGCCACCACCACCAACGCATGTCATTTTCCACCTGTCGTGGCTGGCTGTTGTGCAATTGCTAGCCAGACAGGCGGGTTTACAGTACACAGTACAGGTATATTTTTCACCAACGTACCTACGACAATTTTAGGCGGCCGTTTTTATGTTATGCAGAACTGATTACCTGGGTGCTGGAACCTTGCGACTGTGAATGTGGACGTTTGGGCTGGAAAAAAGAAATTCAATACTGGTCGGTAGTGTAGCGACTACCGAGAGGTAAATTGGGCACAAATAGTGTTCTAAGCCGCCGTTGGGACGATAGTATGGTTTGCGATCTACATGTATGGTGCATGATGATTCAAATAATATCATGGTGGTGTGCCGTTCGTCCTTGCTTCGTCTATGGCTCAATAGCTTGCCGTCTCGCTGGCTCTGTCTGTTTCGTATGAATTGCACTATTGTCGCTCGACCTCACAGGCAACGATTTACGACGATCTCTTATGCCAGCCTGGCGAGCACTTGAACACATGACACGCTTATTCTTGTCTGTACAACTACCAAGCATGATTATATCCGATCTGATCTTCAGCCAGTGATCATTCTAGAAACAAGAGGACGGCGGAAGACGGCAGGCACAGGAATCATTCTTGCAGCGGCAGTGCCTCGTATTGTGTCTGTTGCCAGACCGAGTTGGTAGCCACCACCACGATGCTAAACCTACTGTTACAATACATGTACTTGGTGTTGCTACCTAGTTTCAACCGAGTCATTCAATACACACATGACATACCCATATGGAAATGGGAATATCTACTGTACTGTAGTATGCCATTGTGCCAGCGCTACGTGTTGCTAGCGGCAAAGGTAGATTCAGCGATGCGGCAGTCTACTCGGCTTGGCGGCGGGTATTTTGCACGAAAACGCTACACTCTGGCTAGGTACATTTGATCATGTTTCAGTCTGGCTCATGCATCCTACCGTGCGCTGCATTGGGGTGAACTATTTACGCAGACCTTTTGCCGTCCACCTCGTTCTTCTTAACGGCACAGCGAAGGTGATGCATCGCGCAGCGCGAACCAAAGCTACGCTGTCTGGGCGGGGGGGGGGGGGGGGGGGGGGGGGGGGGGGGGGGGGGGGGGGGGGGGGGGGGGGGGGGGGGGGGGGGGGGGGGGGGGCGCC